GTAAACTTAAAGTAAATGGACATTTACTTAAATGTTTTCGATAAAAATAAGTATTTGCTGAAGTAATCGATCAAATGGCACTATGTGCTCGATGAGATGGCCAAAACAGAGAAAAACCATTTTTTCATTCTATCATCTAACCAATTAGATCCACCAAGTACTCGATCAGATGCTCAAAACAGTGAGCACACTCTTGGATCGCATTTCACCATGTAACCGAAAACGTTCCTGATCTAATCGATCAGATGAGTCCAAGTAATCGATCAGATGAAACATGTACTCGATCATATGCAGTTTCAGTTCTAATGTAACCGACTACATCATACATGTAATCGATCAGATGAGATCTAGATCTAATGTACTCGATTAAATGGTCTGCTAAAAGTTTCCCAACGGGCAGAAACTTCATGGGAACTTACCATATTGCCCCCTAACGGCTACATTCTTTAAAGGGCACAATGTCCAAACATTGTGGGTAAGCATTGGAGAGAAATAGAGAAACCTTCTCGAGTATAAAGAGCTTTTGTTCTTCATCTTCTTCATCCTCTCATACATATCATTCATAGAGTATTAAGCTTCTTTTGTATTCATTTATACTCTAGTTGTGATTTGCATAATCTTTGAGAGATATATTCTTGTGCAACAACTTTTTATCTACAATCAATTGTAAGGATCGGTGTGATCCAACAGAAGTCTAAGAAAGGATTGTTCTCTTAGCAAGAAGAATTAGAAGCGGTATGCTTCTTGTACCGGTTTGCTCTCCACCCGTAAGGAGGTGCCACAGTGGGATTGGGAAAGTCTCAAGAGGGATCTTGAACCGAGTAGTAGGAGTTATCGAACCTCGTTAAATCGTTGTGTCAAGTGTATGCATTTCTCTCTCTCTCTCTCTACTATTATTGTGATTAATTTCATTACTATTTTTATTGCAAATATATTTGATATAATCGATTATTGTGTAGAGTTCTTAAATTCGAATTATTTGGTATTGTTTGCTAGAGACTCTATTCACCCCCCTCTAGAGTCATATACTGGGCAACAAGAGATTTTTATAACAAGAATTTGTTTTGCCAGTCCCAAATTCTTCATAGCAAAGTGCTTGCTTAACTCCTTTTTCAACATATCAATCTTACCAACATCACGGCCAACAATCAACATGTCATCAACATATAACAAGAGAATGATAAAATCACCATTGGAGAATTTCTTCACAAACACACAATGGTCAGATGTAGTCTTGTTGTACCCATGGTTCACCATGAAGGAGTCAAACTTCTTATACCATTGCCTTGGTGCCTATTTGAGACCATACAAACTATTTCTCAAACTGTATACAAGATGTTCTGTCCCTTTGACTCTAAACCCTTCTGGCTGGTCCATATATATCTCATCCTCCAAGTCACCATGAAAGAAGGCAGTCTTCACATCAAGTTGTTCAATTTCTTAATTCAACTGGGCTGCTAAACCCAAAACAACTCAAATAAAGGACATTTTCACCAAGCTTGACTTGTCATCAAGCTTGGACCTCTCATCCTTAGGAATATGAAGGAAACTCTGCAGCGAAACACCTTCAAGTGTTCACATGAAACATCTTTCCCAGTCCACACTCTCTCTGGTACATCACCATTCAAATAAGTTGATGGAGAAAGGTTGATTAGATCTCCTGCAGTTCTCATAGCTTCACCCCAGAAAGATTTTGACAACTTAGCATGAGAAAGCATACACCTCATTCTTTCAACAATTGTTCTGTTCATTCTCTCTGCTAAACCATTTTGCTGAGGAGTTTTAGGCAAAGTTTCTCAAGTCTGATTCCATAGGTTTTACAGTATTCTTCAAATGGTCCTCTGTACTCACCCCCATTATCAGCACGAATGTACTTCAACTGTTTTCCTATTTCTCTTTCAATTGTGGCATGAAAATGCTTGAAGATATCTAGCACCTGGTCTTTAGATTTCAAAGCAAATGCCCACACTTTTCTAGATTGATCATCAATAAATGTCACAAAATAAAGTGCACACGAAGAGTGCTAGATTTCATAGTGCAGAGATTAGTGTGAATCAAATCAAGAACATTCGATTTTCTAGATGGAGGGAATTTATGAAATGAAACTCAAGCAATGAACACAAGTTTTAAGAGTCCAGGTAAGAATCTGAAATCCCTTCTCGCTCATATGACCAAGCCTTTTGTGCCAAAGCTCAATGGAGTCATTCTCAACGGTATTTACTTGCCCTTTTACTGAGAGTTGCTTGCATCAAATAGGGAGAACTTGATTTCTTTCCTCTGGCCACAACTAGAGAACCTTTGGTAAGCTTCCATTTTCCTTCACCAAAGTAGTTGTTATACCCTTCATCAAGCTTGCCAGCAGAGATGAAATTGAGGCGAATATCTGGAACATGTCTGACATCTCTGAGAACCAACCTGCAACCAACATTGGTTTCCAAGCAAACATCTCCCATGCCCACAATCTTGGATGCACGATCATTTCCCAGTCTAACATAGCCAAAGTCACCACTAATGTAGGATGTGAAGAATTCATTATGTGAAGTAACATGGAATGAAGCACCCGAATCAATCACCCAATTACTGTCTTGGCATGCTAGATTAATACAACCATCATCACTGACAATGATCACCTCAACATCAGTTGCAACTGCAGTGGTCTCTTTTTCTTTCCCTTTTCCTTCACCTCTTTCTTTAGACTGTTCCCTTTTCAATTTTCTGCACTCTCTCTTCATATGCCTTGGCTTCTTCCCCTCATTCTTGATTTTCATTAACAAGTGCCTCTGCATGAGAAAATGAACCCAGTTCCTTTCTTCTGGCTTCTTCATTGAGCATATTGTCCTTAACCATATCCATGGTTAGCTTTCCATTAAGCGCTGAATTGCTTAGTGATACCACCAGTGTTTCCCAACTATCAGGCAATGAGCTGAGAAGCAAGAGAGACTGTAGCTCATCATTCAACAACATCTTCATAGTGGTTAACTGGTTCACAACACTCAAATGCTTAGTTACACTACAACCATCCTTGTATTTCAAATTAACAAGCCTTCTAATCATTGAAGCTTTGTTTTGTGTTGTCTAGCGCTCATACATAGACTCCAACTTTTTCCACAGAACATCAACTTTAGTTTCCTTGGTAACATGATGGAACACAGTCTGATTAACCCATTGTCTAATATGGGCAATAGTTTTCCGATGCATCAATTCCCATTCCTTATCAGTCTTAGTAGTTGGCTTTGCTTCATCACGTTGAATGGGCTCATGTAAATCCTTGCAATAAAGGACGTCTTTCATTCTAGGCTTCCAAATTGAATAATTTGAAGAAGTCAATTTTATCATGCCAACCGAGTTCTCCTCTATTTTAATTCACACGAGAAATAACAAACCAAAGCTCGGATACCAATTGTAGGGTGGGTCCACCCCATGTGGGTGTTGACCAAGAGTGGGCCCAGCCAACATATGTCTATCATCACTAAAGTGGCGCATCAAACATAGAAGAATTAGAAGAACAAAACAGTAAACTTCTGGGTTCGGCTGAGGATAGAGAAAGGTGACCGTTGCTCCAATTTCACTGAAATTTCAGGTGCTGATTCTCGCCGACAAGCTCCACACATCTACCGGATTGGATCATTGGTATTGCCTCTCCAAATGGGTCGATTTGGGTCATCCTCTTTTTGCACGCTTGGTGAGATCTAAACCTCTTGTAGTGGAGTTTCTTGTTGGAATCTACCATTGTTGGTGAGTATATTATTGTGGTGAGCCAAGAGTATGCTACTCTTGATGATTGTATTCCTCTAATTGTACTAGAGAAGAAACCTTGTGTACCCTATTATTGTTGCATAGTGGAAGTTGAAATCGGACGCCGGTCCTCATGGTTTTTTCCCCCTTTGCGGGTTTTTTTCATGTATATCTTGGTGTCACTTTGTGGATGGTTATTATTGCTTATTTTGCTTGTGCTTAGTTGATTGGAACACACATCCTATTTGAATCACACAAAGACGGGAAAAGGTTATGTCTGCATTCATTGTTGTTTCCGCTTTTTTTCCCAACAACAGGTATCAGAGCCAAGTCCCAAAAAGCCGCATGTGGACTCAAGATCCCTTAGTTGAAGGGAAAGTTGGTGATGTTCAATCCACTGGGAAGCGCCTTGTTCTAGGACCGGTGACGTTCTATCCACCGGGGGTGAACCTCGTTCGAGGGGGGGGGGGGGGGGGGGATTGTTGGGTAATTGAACGAGCCCACACCGGTTAGAAAAGAAGGAAATCTGGGGCTTATATGGGGTAAGGGTCACTCTACCTAATAGTTTAACCTTTTGGGTTGGATACCAACAAGCCCAACAATTGCACTATAAAAACTAGTATTAGGAATTATTATTCTTCCTTCACTATTCACACCATTCTGACCACAGAGTCATTATTATTATTATTATTATTATTATTTTATTTTTTATTTTTTATTTTTATAAGTACCACAGACTCATTATTTAGTTTACAGCCTAGCCACCTCACCCACACCCATCATTTAGTTTGCACCCAAGCCACCTCATCAACACCTAGCAACAATCTCTAGTTGAAATTTATTTGCCATCCACCAAATCTCTCATTTTTACTCACAACGAAGCCTCATGAAAGGCCCCAACGGTGACTTTATTAGATGTAGTGCAAGGCATGATTCATTAAAAATGAATTTGAAAAGATGTATATAGAACAAAGATAGTTTAGTGTCTCATTTGTGTGCCAAAAATGAAATTTATTATCTTCTCCATAAAACCAATATACTTGATTCTATTAACCAAAAAGGCCAAATAAGAAATTATGTAGCAAGATTGAAAAACTAGAAGGATTTTCAGAAACTAGTTTCAGAAAAATTACAAGATACACAGAATTCTTTATCTTTTTTTAATAAAAATTCTTTCGTAAAACTATAAGCTATTTTTCTGTTGACAAAAGGTTATCCTTCCATCATCCAAGTTATTAAAAGAGTAATAGAGAAAGAACACTAACCGTGTCTTGACAAAAACATGTGTTGTGGCAGCCACATAGAAGATCAGTTGCGAGATCAAGATCAAAATTATTATAGACCCATTTGCAAATAAATAGCAAACCAGCGACACAATGATGAAGCTAACAAATGGAGGGAACGACTGATACATTAGGAAGGAAAGGAATAAGGCAATCACAGTGGGTAAAATGGCTAGGAACAGAAATGGATATGGCATTCTCAAATTTGATTCCACTGCAGACAGCATTGAGGGTAGAGGCTGATCAAATTCCCATGCATGTGCTTGCCTCATCAAAGCGAAAAAAACAACAGCAATGGAGAAACCAAGAATCTGCGAGAGAGCAGTCCATAAAATGCAACACAAAAAAATTGATAAGCTAAAAAGTCACAGCATTTTATGCAAGAAGTAAAGAAGATTCTACAGAACAAAAGCCAAGAACTTTAATCAGCAAACCATAATACATAACCCACCACAAGTAACAATTATATGGAATAATAAGTAAACAAAGATTAAATTCAGGAAATATCACGTGCGCCTCTTTCCCATTTCCATCTATAAACTATGACAGGCTTCGGAATTTGTTGAGAGCAACTGACAGTGCCGAGGATTAATGGTTTCTAATGGCCACTGAAGCTCTATATGCAATTTGTTTGAAGGACGGGAGACAACTCCTACAGCTTGCTTGGAGATCTATGTAATCCCTTTTTACAACTCCAACAAATCCAGACCATAGTTTGCAAATGGAGCCTTTCTCAAAAAAAAAAATTTGTTACCCAATTTCATATTTACATGCTATTGTCATCATGGAGAATAAAACTATAAAAGTACCACATTAGGTGATAAGACTGCAAAGTTATGGAAAAATCTGTACTAATAAGTCAGCAAAGCATTTTATCGGAAGGATTAAATAGTCCAAAAGTATTGTAGTGTCAAGTGACTCAAGTGATTGGTAATTTCAGTAGTTGTACCAAAAGAGAGGTCAAGGTTCCTAGAAACATTAAGGCATAATCCTAGTGGCCATGATAACTCCTTCCTTGAAGTCTTTTGCACATGCACATTGCATTATAAAGGTTTGACGGGTAGAATTTGTAGAAACAATCCTCACTACGTGACTCATATGCAACACTAAATTTTTAGAGGTTTTCTCACGAAGAATGTCTCCTACCCATTCCAATGGCATAATGTTGTTTAATGTAACATTAGGAAGGACATTGCCTAAAATGAATCCAAGGCAGGCATACTCTCACAGCATCTGGGCAGCATATACCCTTTGGAGAATTCACTAAGAGTGTCGTGAAGCCGCGACTATTGCAATTGGGTTATTCTCTAGAGCTCTCACGAGCCAAGATATGAAAGCATTACCACATGTACCAAGTCAATTCATAGTCAATAATATGTGTGCGTGCACCCTTTCTGCTTCATGCTTTAACAGAAAAAATTAAAAAATACCTTTTTAAATATGAGGTATAAAATGACTACAAGGCATGAATTTTTTAAGGACTACTATAAGTCTCACCAAAAACGAGTACTTCTCCTTACATACTATTGTCTTTTTCCGTGAATAGTTCATTTGTAAATTAAAGAGAACACAGGTATGATAAAAAGGATGTGTTTGTACGATCAGAAATTCTGATGCAAGAGATTAAAGAAATCAAGAATGGAAGACAGATAATGCATTTAAATCAAGCCTGTTGAAATTTGTCACCTGCGCAAAGTACAAAAGCAAAAATCTGCTTGCTGCTGCAGTGATGGAGACAGCAACACTAATTTTATATGAACAATGTGGGTCAACCTGCAGAAGAATATAGAAGCCTAAGCCTTCAGTCATGAATAACGGATAAACGGACTCCAAAAATGAAGCAATAGTCCATGCAGATTACAAGCCAATATTGACAAGAAACTTATTGAGTTGGGTGACAATACTAGTAACAAAACAGTGGTCTTCTCAGATCCCTGAGTTGAACTCCAAAGTGCAGGTGAGGAATCCACCCCAATTGTCTCAGAATACAAATTGGGAAATATGCGAAGCCCCGAAGTAGTATCCCAAACAAGTGCAACAGGTGGGAAACAGCGCAGTTTGCATAGTCCTACATTACCAGCAAAGAGCTATATTAGCATAAAATAGAAAGGGAAAACTAACAATCATAAAGAAAATCATAACTAAAATCCAGATATCATATTTATTTAATCATTCTGTCATAATGGATTATTGATGATCTAAATATCTAAATTAGAATCAGTTCAAAAATAATCAAGCATGGAAGTAGAAACATCAGTTCGAATGTTTATAAATTCTGGAACACCTTAGTTCAATAACAAAAATAAATGAAGTAAGAAATAAGAATGGATAAATGACAATTGGATTAATTTATAGAATTTCAAAATGGTGAAGCAAAGGGAAACTTCGGATGCATATCCTTCAAGGAAAAATAAAATTTAGAAGTTTTAAAAAAAAAAAAAAAAAAAATGACCATATCAAGTAAGAAAAAGAAATTGGTTTTGAGTAACGCATGGGGAATAAAAGTTCCAATTCGTTTGAGTACCGCAAGGGCATAAAAGTTCCTCATCAAAATGAGACCATAGTCATCAAAAGAAAATGTTAATATTAATACTATTTTTGGACAAGTACAAAAAGAATCAAGAGGAAGGCAATGAATTTATTAAGCCTTTAACCCAGACATAACATGATCATGAGTAAAAATTCGAATGCACAAGTCGGGAAATGAATATAAATTCATAGTATGAATTATAATTTGACAATTGTGACCAACGCACAAACGAACACAACATTATATGAAGGTTGGCCATGGAATTATAAAAATTAGAAGTTAGGTTGCCTACAAAGACAAAAGAAGATAATATTTAAAAAATTGAGAGAAACGAATCCTTACGGCTATTTTCCAGGTCACCAGCTTCTTCAATTGGAAGCCCGGACTTCTTTATTCCACAACCTGTAGTTTCTAGAGATAATTTAACAGGCAAAAGGCCTAAGCTTATAGTGAATGACAGATTGAAAGCAAGAGGATGATCCTCCTCCATCACCATATTCTGCAAGAGATTTAAGTGGTGAAGCAGTGAAATGTCAGCAACTTAAATGACTAATCAAACTAAATCATCCAGACAATTGCCTAAGCTTCCAAATTTTAAGAACAATTGCACAAAACCCACTGAACTATAAAAATATGTGCATTACGCCTATGATAAAATTAATCCCCCTAAACAATTGAAAGTTTACAAAATATGCCAACAGCCTAACCACCAATAGGTGACTCATAACGTGTCTTGAAAATTACGGAATTACCTTTAAGGCTGATTGCAGAAACCCCCCTAAACAATAACAAACCTGCACGTTACCACTTGAACAGGGGGAAAATTTGTTATAGTTCAAGGGGTTTTTTTGGATTTAGTCATAATACCCTTTCAGGATTTTTAAAAATCCCAATGTTGTGACCAAACAGTAACTTAACAGAAGGGGTCCTTGTAAATATTTATATATTTTAGGGAGGTTATACACTAAACATTTCATATTGGGGGTGATATGAAATTTTTTCATAGTTCAAGAGGGCTTTGTGCAAGTAAGCCAAAAAGAAACCTAGAAAGCAAAACAGCCACTTTTATAAAATATTAACCTTTTGAGAATAAGCCGAGAGAAGCAACAATTGAGGAGAGAACTCTTTCTCCCCTTCTTCTGGATTGAAGAACTGCCCAACTAACATTGAAGCTACTGGTGGAGGTCTGCCTGAAACCGTCTGAGCACCAGAAAGTCACTACAAGTCAATTCAGCTGAACAAAAACCTTATCAAACTATTTGCAGTCACCTTCATGAATACTATTTACCATTCTGTTTTCCCTAAGGACATAACTTCAGTTAAATCACACACTATTATTGTTCTGTTTATTATCTCAACCGATGTTAACCATTCTGTTTTCCCTAAGGACATAACTTCAGTTAAATCACACACTATTATTGTTCTGTTTATTATCTCAACCGATGTTACTTTGATATTTCCCTTCTTCAGGCATTATGCTTATCACATTCAGCAAAAGAGCAGAAGTAACATTCAAAATTATCCAGTCCATTGTTGATACTATACACTTCTCAAACCAGGAAACCCAATCAAAGACAATTTTGAACATACTATTAGGCAAGATATCATCATGGACATGATCTGACCATGTACAAGAGCATATGAGAACATGACATGAATTACAGACAAAATTACATTAAGAACGGAAAAAGGATTATCACATAAACTTGAAGGTGTTAACTACCCATCTACTCTAAAAGCTTAAGCTGTTAGAGAGGGTGTAACTTTAATATTTAAATCCTTCAACAAAAGGCAAGCAATTGTACTCGAGGCCATGACAAGAAACATAATACAAATGTTTTACGTATAATTATATAATAAATTTGAATTATTGAATATGTTTGTTAGGTGCATGTCTGTCAAACACATCCCAAAACTCATGCCGAAGTGTCTTGAGTTCAATAAGTGAACTACAAGCATTTCTGGAAACTTCACTTATATATATATATATATATATATATATATATATTCAACATAATGAAACAAGCAGTTTAAAGGTTTCATGAGACCTGTCTGATAAAAACAGATGTTGGAATAATTAAGGAAACAATACCGGACGAGGGGCAACTGAGATTGTCAAGAATCTGAAACCACGCATATCTTCAGGACTTAACCAAAACACAGCAGAAGGAGGTGCTTGTTCAGTCTGACTACCTGGTTCAATCTGATAACAAATAGCATATTCAGAATATATCAGCCAAATCTGCTACTCCAACCAGGCTCCAGTAGCCCCATATCTTCCACTTCATAAACCAAAATGACTCCTCTTAACAAGAAAAAAGATGGTTTATTTCAAATGGAGAAGACACAAATAGAATAAAGCCAACATGTACAAGAATACAAGAAGTCCTCAAAGAACATGATGAATACAACATTCATTACCTGACGTGGAACTGGTCCTGACGGAATTTCCGCCATCTTTGATGTCACTTCCACAACCCTTTGACTAACGGACAAGTCTGCAGCTGATATACCCTTTTCAGGCCAAAGATGAAGTCTAACACCATAACACGGAGCAAGATTTGTAACAAAAATGAAGTGGCTTTTCCCATTTGACGCCTAAGCATTTCAATCAAAGTATGAGTTGTATTATATTGGCTTAGAACATGAAGAAAGGCAAAGTGAAAAAAGAAAATGATTGAAAAAAGGATTGAACATCATTGGAATTTCATCAATATCAATTACAAAAAAAGGGCAAGTAAATTAATTTAAAAAATAATTCTTCAAGACAGATTTAAGTTTGAGTGTCAAAACATGAGTAGAGAAAAGAAGGAAAAGGGAATAAGAAGCTTTCAACAATCATCAGATCCAAGCATCTACAAACATAAGATTGAAAATGAACAAAATGAGTTTTAAATGTCCTTAATGTGGATAGAGAACATTGGCAAAGCTACCATTTTCTGAATGTCCAGCCATCGCCTCCTCCCATCCATTGCTAGAACAGTAATAGTGTCCGTACGAATATATAGGTCCCTTTCAAGGCCATCATCGCTCCAATGAACATTACTCGGACAAGCTGAAGCAGATAAAGTGTGCAACTGGGGTCCTGTGACCATCATAAATCAATTTTTAATCTCTTCTTAAAGTTAACCACCAAGCCTCTCAACAACAACAAAAGAAACAAAAATCAATAATACCAACAATGCATTCCACTGCGGGCATACATAAGTCATAAGGTTCTGTGAGATTTTGAAGCAAAACCACATACAATATTGAGACCAGAACCTGCTATGGAGGGGTGGAGGGGGATGAATACCCTCACAATCAGCCTATGACAGAACAGAAAACAAATTCAAGGTACCACCAAGGCTTTAGCTCAAGTGGTATCTCTTTATCATCCATATGGGAGGATAAGGATGAAATTGATGTGTGTGCTTAGCTATAAGTAAATATGAAATAAAACCTTCAAAAGGAAAATATGAAATGGTAGAAACTTCCTTCATTCCTTGTACTTGTCTTCTTTATATTTATAAAATAATCCCATTCAGGGGGGAAAAAAAAAGTTAGTAGAAACTTCAGAACCCGCTGCCGCTACATTCAATAAACTAGAACCATATAACCATGAGCGGCTAACAGCTTGCTAGATCCAGCATGCGGAAATAAAGCAAGCAAAAGGGCCAAAACAAAGAAAGATTTCATATATCGAGCACAAACAGCTATAGCTCCAACCACACTAGAACACTTGAATAACTGTGACCAAACTCGTGAAAGCAAAAAAACAAGCACTATCCAAGACTTACTTATTGCAAAGTTAATATCTTCCCCCTTTTTGTGGGTAGAAAAGTTCATTGTCAGTTCTGTCTAAATTGTTCTTTCATAATATCTCACGTCAAGTGTAAAATCTGACAGTTAGGTTTTTTCTTCTGATTCCTTACTATCCCATGTCTACTTGCCTGTTATTTATGGTACATCACACCTGCTAGAGCTAGTTTCCTACTATCCTTGCATAGGCAAGGAGTGACTTTGCTCTTGTATGGTTGAAACATTAAGTCAGATCTTCCTCTAGACAATAGTCTCTCATAAATACAGCATTTCATAAGAGAAGCATCCCATATTTTATTTGTATAGACAATCAAAGCACCGTGAGATATTCTTCTGAATTGTTACACAGAATACACAGACTATGTGCACAGTTTTAAATAGAACCAAATTACATTTCTCCAAGGCACATTGAGGGTTTTTGTGGATGAGCAGGAAATAAAGGTAATGAGCAGGAAATAAAGGTATCGGATGCAATACAATTGATGTTCCAAGTGGATTAGACTATATGGAAGTGGAGGATGGCTTGTAAAAGAAAGGAAGTAGCAATACCTATCTCATCACAGAGGTCAGGGCCATGCTTGAGGTCAACTAATCATAGATAAGTCAAGGTATAGCCATGTGCTTATAAGGTCTCAAAAGATGGCTTCAGTCCGTTGTAAGGCTCTCCAGATCTAGTGCTCATGTCGAGATGGAGATTAGAGAAAGGCCATACTTCGCGGCTCAATGTGATGCCACCAAGAGCTATACAGCCATATGGTAAGACTCGGTAGGTGGGTGCTATTGCGGCTATAGAGATAGAAATACTATGTCCATGGACATCGATACGAAATATGGATATGACATCATATGGAAACATCAACATGAGAAATTCCTAAATGAACAGGAACTGATACGGTGAGGACAATACAATACATAAAAACTCAACTCAACAAAGCCTTTTTCTAACTATTAAGGGGTTAACTACAATAATTATTTTTATTATCTATCTCAAGCCATAACCTCAACCTTAGTTAGGCCACATACTATCATACATTTCCTAACTATCTCAACCCATGCTTATTTTGGTCTTCCCCTTCCTCTCACATTACCTCAACAATGACCATATTATTTTCCCTTACTGGTTCAGATATTAATCGTTGTTGCACATAGCCATATTGTTTTGAAAGTTTTGAGGGTTCAAGTCTTACTAGAGACAAAAATGAGTGTGTAAGTTACTTGTTAACTTCCGGGAAAAATTTAAAAAATAAAAAATTAAAAAAAAAAAACAACAACAACAACAAAAAAATAAAATAAAAATCTTCATGAAATTTCTCTCAATTTATCTATAATTAGTGTTAATCCAACCATCTCATTAATGTGTTCATACTTCTTCTTTTTTAATCACACCATTAATCTCGATATTCAAATTTATGCCCCAACTTAACCCATAGTATTTTAATCTATTGTTTACATCGTTCCAAGTTTCTCTCTTTAATGTGCATAATCGAGCCTCGGAAACAAAAATATATATTTTTTAATATTTCTTGATCCTCAATCTTCACTATATCCTCATTGATACATCCAGGCACGGACCTGCCCCCACTGAATTTTTTTCTTTTTTTGGTATTTTATACCTATAGTTTCCTTTTTTTGTAATAAATACCTATAAAAAAAATTAATTTGCCCCCACTGAAATTACAGAATAGGCCGCCCCCCCTTGCATAACTTTCTGGGTCTGACTCTGGGTACATCTAGTTTTGGTAACATTACATTTATACATTGAAGCTTTAGTCCTACTTTATTTTGTTTTTTTTCCCCCTTCTCCCTTACCCAGCCTTGAACCCTAGAATTGGGATTGTAAACTTAATATGAAATACCCACCAGGAGACAAGGGGGCAGATTAATCCTACTTAGCTTAGACCTTCCTAATTCTAGATCTTCTCTCCAAACCTCTAATTTAGTACTGTTCCTACTCTAGTTTAAACAATTAAAATAAAAATCACCAAACATAGGCCCCTTCGTAAATAGTGAATTTTGGTGGCCCCTAAAAATTTTGTAAAGTACCTCAATTTTTATTTTTATTTTTATTTTATCAGACAAGTACTCACACACACATTGCCCATGTTAGGATTCGAACCCCTCCCCTCTTCTTTGAGGATGGGGAGGTAATACCATTGGGCTAATGGCCCATTGGTTAAAGTACCTCAATTTTAGTCCTTTTAACTCTTATATTTGAAGTCCGTATTTTAAAGAAAGTAAAATTCCAAATTTAACCCTTATCCATATTTTACAAATAATCTTCTTACTTTTAAAAATTCTATTACACAAGCTATGTTAGCTGGACTCGAGTAAATGTGTCGGGTGAAGGTATGTATCCAAGCGTCAGACATATCAAATTCCCAAACAGAAGGACATATGGACACTGCTAAATATTCATATTAGACACCAGTAACCTCCAGGGAGAAATTCTCAAGTTCCACAATACGCTGCAAACTAAAATCAGATAATTGCTTTCAATCATTAACAAAAAAAAATGATTAGATAATATACTACTCTGTGTTTTCAGTACCAGATAATACTGCATCCCACGAAAGCTCCCAGTGAATTTCCCAAAATAAGTGCTGAGAAATTACATGTATTTTCAGGAAAAAGCAAGTTCCAAAATTCAAGCTTTCGGGACAATAAATGCCAAGAAACAATCTGAATCACTTCTTCAGCAAGTTACCTTTCAATTAGAAAATAGATTTTATGGATTTGGCATAACATGGTTCTGTTAAATAAAGTGGAGGTTAATGATACCAGCAAGTTCTTTTCCATCCTGAGTCGAAAGATGCGTTGACTGCTGAAATGAATGGGATTGCCTCAACGAATTAAAAATTTGAGGTATCCCGCTACCAAGCATTTTTGTAAATATTGCAAGTCTATGTCGTGGGTCAGAAAATGGTTGACCTGTCTTGGAATCAATCAAACTAAGAAGAGCATGTGACACCTGAAATAAGGATACAGCAAATCAGAACCATCCATAGTAGCATTTCACCTAAGTTAAACAACAGAAATTTTGCTTACTTGCACAGCTATTTGATTACACCATAAAATAGCATCATGTTCCATTGTCGACCATACATTTTTCATGCTGGAAGTGCTGATCACTAGACTATGGGTAGGAGGCACAATACCATCAAGCAATTCCATCTTTGACCGAACCTAAGATAAAAATAAAAAAGCAGAGGACATGAATCCACCAGTTCAAGATACATAAAAAGCATTCATTCAAAAACAAAAACAACGAAAAAAGAACGAAAGTATAGGAGAAAAACTAAAGCAGCATTAAAAATAAACACAGATAAAAAAATCATTTATGCCTAATTGTGCTCCCGAAAACTGCCAAATCATTGAAAGAATACTTGTAATAGTTTCGCAGGAAGCAATATAAGTTATTATAATCTATATAGATTTTGCATGTTCTAGAAGCAAATGAATCATAGGCATTAAACAAATAACATAATGTTTTTTTAAATGTTTATGTTGAAATATCTGTATTATTATTTTTTATTTTTTATTTTTTGGGCTGTTTTGCTTTGATACCAAAAAGAAATTGTTTTGGTTTTTGGCTTACTCAAACCAAGGGCAAAGAGCTATATTTATATACAAGAATAGGGTACAAAGAAAAAGAGGAAATATGCCAAAATCAACGTGATCCCATGATTATGGGGATCTTATCTACGTGATCCCATGATTACGGGGATCTTATCTACGTGATTCCATGATAATAGGGATCTTACATAAAACACCTTATAAAAGGCTTAAAACAGCTAATAAAAATAATAATAATAATAATACAGATATTTCAATAGTTTATGTAGATGTGGATTGTGGAACCCAAAAAGCTTAAGAATGTTTTATGCGACATTCTCAAGAACTACTCTAACAAATGATATCTACTAGCTCAAACCAAAATGGTATACAGCACTAATATTCATCAACGCAAAAATTATGTTTCAGATGTCTAATTATCTTTTGTATGTGTGATATAGATTTGCATTTGCTTTATGACCAGTAAACACATAAGCATCCATGCTGATTATAACAGAGATGCACTTGTCTTACTATTAAGACAGAGTAAGATGCAAAGAACACACGTACCTTGTAATCACTAGTGCCACAGGAAATAGAGATGACAACAACATGAGAGAGTGGAGGATCAGATACATAATGTCCATTTCGAGAGGTTTGGACCTCATATCCCTTTCTCCATTCCCGGTTTATATGTGAATAATAGTGACCCAAGGATGGCTGCAATGCCACAGGAGATGACCTGGACAAAGAAAGTGAATCTCACTGATAACTATTTGCATGAATCCGAAACCTACAACGAAACCATTGAAGAGATACAAAGGTTACTGGTGTGGGCTTGCAAGTGTAACAACAGTGTTGACCGCTGCCTTCCTTAAATATGGGTGGACAACGGCAGCTCTAGCAATAAAACCACCCGAAGAGTGACCAACCAATATCACACTTGTTGGCAGATTCCCAGAGATCGCAGCACCTTCTCTTACCCGAGCATCACGAGACTCTTTATATTGATCTAAAATCTACAACAACAGACACATGGAAACTAATCACATAAATGAAACATGTGAAGTGAGAAAAAAATTAAAAAATAAAAAAATAAATAAAAAAAAATAGAAGTCAAGAACAAAATACAAGCAAATTGCAAAATATCTGAGTTTAAATGCATTCACTAGAAAGTGAAGAGTCTTAGAGGTAGCACAATGTAGAAGCATGTAAGGGAAAATCAACTAAGAAATTTTAGTCATGTGCCAGTAAGAAAGATTGTCTCAAATGAAATTGGAATAGCAAAAAACTTATAAAGAGGATTCACATCTGCGTTGGACTCGTATTCCTCCAACTCAATTAAGTGTCGCTGCGAGTGTCAGATTCAAAGCTGTCCTGTCCAATTTTAAATTTTTTACGTTTGGGGAAACAGTTGATATGAGGCCACCACAATACAGTAGACTTCACAGGGCATGCCAGTTATGTTTTAACTCAACTCAACTCAATAAAACCTTTTTTCCAACTTATTTAGGCTTGATATTCCTTAGGATTCATGTTCAAAAGTTTTACATTAGCTACTAAGCTATCAGACACAATACTCCTCCTTTTTCCAGACTCGAGACCAAACTATGTAAAAATAAGGCAATAAACACAGTGGAGTCGCCCCAGCTATATTTTTTCATGGAATTATCATTAAGGTTAAGTCAATTTGCAATGTCCAACAATAATTTTGCGATAAAAAGAATAAGATCCAACAAAAGATTTATAACAAGAACCAATACAAGGAAAAATTGATCAAAACTATTTTAAAACAATTTAAATGAAATTAGATCCTACTAAAGCTTGCACTAATTCAATCCAAGGTCTTTGACAAACTCAACTAACAAAATCTCAGGAACTGCATTCCCCACAAAAACATTTTGAAAACACTTGTTGGCTACAAATGAAAAAGTGATAAGAGAAGACTATTTTTTTTTTCAAGGATAAGAGAAGACTATTACTTCAGATGTTTTAACATATAGAACACAAGTTTGCAATTTATTCCAGTAATGGCATTATAACACAACTTCATATGTTGTTTCATTTCAGATGCTTCACGCAAAATGATAAAAGTGATACCTTGTGAATGGCATATACTACATATTCTGTGTTCTCTTCAAGTATCCAACCATCCACTGCAGAATGCTCACCTTCAAGATCCACAGTAAACCAATCCAGCATGTAATCGTATTGGTTGGGTAATGGAAATCCAGCCACGTCCATACTTACTTCTCCCTCTTCAAGCATTAATGACGCTTCCAGGTAAAATGTCCGCCTCAGAGGGCCTCCTTGATATGCACGATCAGATTCTGCTGCTAATGATCGTAACTGTGGGAAGGACAACAGAACCAAATGAATTATGAGAAGGGCATGCAGTTTGTACACTAACAGGATTCACAATGCTATACAAAATGTAGAAAGTATCACATGCATTGATAATGTATAAATTACACATGCTTAATGTTAAAAATAAACAAATAAAGTAAGCATTTCACATATAGATATACTTATAATGTACATCATAAATTAAAATAGATATCACTAATATGTATCTGTTAGATACAAATAAGATATATAATTATATATTATACTTAATGTATGTCATTTATTATAACACTCACTCACATATATTGTTTACATTTTCATTTTAAATATAAGTTTTCAGATCAGGCATTTAGGGAACAAATTTGACCAATAGACATGTCTATTCATTCTTGAACTGGTTCCACCAAATTTACAACAGATCTTTTCCAAACAAAATATAAACTAAATTTCGCTCCCCTTTTGAGCATCTTTTAATGAAACTTTACTTATTGAAAAAATAAAAAATCTAAATATTAAGCTCTAATTGCAAGAAACCGTCCTCAACTTGTAACGATTTGCGATAAACCCCTCTTTTGAATTTGTTTTTGCACAAAATCCCCTCCAACTAATGATGGGTTGGTCAGTTATTTTCTAAGACAAAAATGCCCTCTACATGCTTCAATAAACCTCCCATTTGGGTCTTCTACCTCCCACTAACGTTGCTTATCGTGCATACATAGTTTTTGCATTTTTTTTACTCATATTGTATAAAACATCAACATAAATTTGATATCAAATTTTTAGTTCACAATAAATTTGACTAATTTATCTTTTTCCTATTTCATGCATAGGTGAGAGATACTTTAACATAAGACACTCAAGCATCCTCCTCAAGGTATGCTAATTTATCACACTAAAAAGAAATTTTTTCTTCTTCTTTCCTTAAAATAAAAAATAAATAATTAATTAGCATATGCATCTTTATGCATGAAACATTAGAATAATGCCATCTGTTGCAGAGAAACATTGAAGAACCTCTGAGGGAATCATAATGTAAAATTCCTTCTTCATAAATTATTTCTTGAATTGTGTACCCAGTGTTTGTATATTTTTGCACATTCACGTATCTTCAAACCTACATAAATACACACACACACACATATTATATATATGTATGTATATATAGGTTTGAGGGGTCTCACCGTCTCTCACCACTCCAACAGTTCTGATCAATATTCCATCAACACGAGACGTGTTTGAAATCAAATGCTATATATCCCATAGAGAAAGAAACCAAAATAATAATAAATAAATAAAGAAGAAAACACCAAGTACTGTGAAAATAATTGTGAACCCAAAATCAAGTGCAAAAAAAACCTCTTCAACTGACCCATTCTATGTTTGTAAAATTGGAAGACAAAGGAGGATTCCCAAGAGATTATTAGTATCAGTTTAACCAAACAATTCTGATCAAGATGATTGCTTGGTTATATACCTGAAACTTGGCATTTTTAATAAAGATGAATGCTTGGTCCAATTCTAAAGAAGCAGGTAAAGGGCATTTTTGTCTTAATTGGAGAGGGTTATGTGCAAAAAAAAAAAAAAAAAAAAAAATCAAAAGAGGGGTTTATTGCAAATCTAAATGTTTATCATGATCAATTTAGAGCTATGCTTTCAAATTTATTAGGAAGCACCATGGAATAATCATCCTTGCACAGCCACATCTATTTTTCGAAAACCAAGAGCCAGTAGACTTGTATGAAAAGATTGACTTAAAAAAAATCAAAAAAAAAAAATTAAAAAAAAAAAAAAAAGGACTCGACAAATCTAACATTACTTCATTAACCAAACCAAAATAATTGTGTTTCAGTTTCTTTACCCATTCCCACCCCCTCTCGAAACCACACCAACCACAAAGAGAAGATTGTGTTTCAGTTTCTAAAATATGCAGAGTGAACTATAAAACTTGTAAAGATTGCAAAATAAACCCAACCTAATTAGAACTTTTACATAGTAATCATTGAAGCGTAACTTCCAATATCATTGAAGTGTAACTCCAATCACAAAGGGCTAAGAACTCATTTTCCTACACTAATTAAATTGGCACAACCACACAATTGCAGGTGTATCTTGGTGTATTTTTTTGTCGACAATATAACATTAGTACACAAAATTACATTACAGGTTGACCTTTTCACATATGGAGAAATGTTTAACTAAACGTTTTATGTTAAGTAAAAACGATGCTACAGTGCTTTTGCATTGCCCAGTGGCTTGGGATGGTTGGGGCTTCATTTTTGCCTTTTCGGTGTTTCTTGGGTCATGCCATATTAAACAGAGAGCATGCTTGGAGCTTGGAGTGGATGTAAGCTGGGAGGCAAGCTCAAGATGCTTGGGGGGCTTCTCCTCTTTGCTTATGGTGGCGCTTATGGCGTGAGAGAAAAAGGAGATCTTTTGATGAGGAGGAGACTCCTATTGGGGCATTCAAATTCTCTATACTGTTCAACTTTTGGGTCAATGATCATAGTTGTAAATATGTGGAGGATATGATTTTTTTGTGTATAACTCAAGGGTATAGCCTCTTTTGTATGAAATCTTGCTTATCAAAAATAAATAACTAAATAAATAAAACTGATGATGCTACAGTAAAAATCAATTGCCAAGAGATATTGAAAAGGAATTATTTTCATTTTCTGGGATCACTTATTTATGACGACTTAGAGTTCAAGATGAAGCTGCTTATAGTACTAAAGCATGACGAAAGAAGTGAGAGGTTCCTTTCAAGTATTTTGCAGCCAGAAAAAAAGAGAAAGATTTATGAACCAGAGAGAATACCCACCAAAAAAATACAGAAGCATATCACGAGAGAGCTATGATGCTAGTAGCACTTAAAGATTTATTATCGTTAGGCAATTACGAAACATGTTAAAAAATAATAATAATAAATATAAATAAATAAATGGGTAGCTTATATGATGTTAATGGATTTTAAGAATGCAATACCTCTTTGAGAAAATAGGGGACACGTAAATTGAAGAAAAAATGCAAGAAAGTTATTTAATAAGGCAAAACAAAGACAACTGAGTTCATCAATATTGATAGTATCCAAGTTGAACTCATTAGAGGATAAAAGACCAGGATGAACATGGGTTTGCTGCAAGACGTGACATGACAACTAAAACTTTATTAAAGCATAGCTTTAGCATTCAGGTTAAGCAAAATGGTGAAAAATATTCATCTATTTAACCCCAACTAATATGGAGCAAGGAGCAGAGTTGAGTATTAATTTTTTTTTTTTTTTTTATAAGTAAAATTTATTAAAAAAGCGCTCAAAAGGGGAGCGAATCCCAAGGACAAACACAAGTACACAAGGCCAAAAGAGCTTCAAACCTTCAAAGAGGCCAAAAAAACAACAATCTCCTCAATCTCCTGAGTTGAGTATTAATTAATTCTTATGTTGTTAATACACTTTTATAGTAGGACTGTTTGAAGTAGAAGTGTTTTAGGAAACTTGGATTAATGCGGCCCATGTATTACTGCGGTTCAATGTGGAGTTTTATCATGGAAAACTTGTAGGGTTAGGGTTTTACAAGATAGAAGAATAGCTGTAAGGTTTTTTAATCAAACTGGATCAATATTGGCTTGTAAGCAAAATGACAATTATCAGAGAAGGTGTGCTGGAATCTATGGACAACAAGATTTTTATGGTTGCTGGTTATTAATTAAATTCCAAAAGGTAGAATAATGGTTTAGGGCTGATCTGCACTGGTTATCATTGAGTTTTTGTGGCTAACATAAGGTTTGTTCTGTGGCCCCGAACAAAGAAGTGAGTATAGCAATTAAAGGAAACAAAAAGAGAAGAAGAACAATATAGGAAACCTGCCTAAAATTCCTTAGGAATTAGCCAGAAGGTGAGCTTGCATCACATATCGAACAGTCTTAAATTCTCTAAAACTCAACTCCCTTGAATAGAACGATTAAAATATATGACATACATAGGAAGTTGAGTTGAGTTGAATAAAAAGATTACATAGATATCTGCAAGCTACTAGACTGACTCAAAACTCAGAAACCTTTACTGCTAGAGTGTATTTAGAGTCTTGAGACCAATAAAGGCTCACGTAAGATACAACTAACATAACTGAAACCAAAAATAAGATACATGGACCACTAATATAACAGTATAACTCAATGCCCAACAGATTCAAATTGTACTTCGTGTAAAATTCACAATTCACCCTACTCTTGATCTCATGCTTAGCTTCATGGCTATAGGATAGTAAATAAGATGGTTCAAATAACATTTCCCCCGGCCAGCGACACAACAAATGCACAAATGGAAAAAATTAAAAATAAAAAATAAAAAAGAAAGGTACACATAAAATATGAATATTTTGAATATTATTAAATAAGAGCAGCATTCTGTGAATATAGAACTTCCGGTAGTTTTTGAAGTACTAAGTATAACAATACAGTATATATTTCTATACATTTCTTGCACTGTGGTTGTACATTGGATGGCAAATCTTGATCACTAAATGCAATATGAATTATTGTATACAACATTAAAATTCGCAAAATTGAAATTCCGATCAGATTCAAAAATAGATAAGTATAAGCTTGCCTGTTTGTAGCTACCACCATTGCCAGGAATGAAAAGAACAGGAACACCACTAAGCTTCTTAACTTGCTCATCAAAATCAACCTTCTGCCATCCTTCATGATACAAATATAGCCCATACTTTGCTGATACATTTTTTGGAGAGGAGATTGGAATGTATGTAGGGTACATATATGTCATGATACAACTAGTAGAAGTTGGCTTCAGCAAACCATACAAACCAGCAAGACCGATCCATGTGCAGATAATAATTACAGCTGCAACTCTAAATTTCGCTTTGAACCCTTGCATTGTTGGATAACTTACACTCCACATGAAAGTCATTTTGAAAATCGTACAGTGCACATGAAGAGATCCATCCTTCATGGACAAAATTCATCTAAAATTAGAAAAAAATTAGCAACAAAGCAATATCTAGCCAATATACAACGTGGGAACCACCATAACTACATATTAAAAAAAAAAAAAAAAAAAAACACTTGTTCTACAAACCTTCAAATATTCTCGATTGACCAAAATCAACATGCTCCAAAAGGTATATATATATATATACATACACATATAGAAAGAGAGAGTAGATAATTAGCTTAATTTTAATTAGAATTCACCACCCAAAAACTAAAACCCACGTCAAGTAATTAGGCCACAACCAATGACAGCACTACCAAGGCAGTAGCCAAAATATTCAAGAACAGAATCAAGAAAATATCAAATTTGTGAACGGAAACAAGAAAACATCAGTTGAAGCACCGACCAGATCTTGAAGAGTATATACAGTCAAAAGAGAAAGCTACAACCAAAAGACGCGAGCGCATATGAATATAAAGAAGAAACGGACGCCTTAAATAAAAAATTATCAAAAAACAATAAGAAATTTCCAATATGAATATAATGCTATACTCAAAAGGCGATAAAATGCAAAAAAAAGTTTACAAACGAGTTGGTTAAGAGGGACTAAAAAGATCGACTCTCTGTAGATTTACTTTCCTTTTATGTTTTTCGTTTGGTTGCTGAGAAAAAATATGAAATAAGAATAGAAAGATTCTTGAATAAGAAGAGATACCTCTACTCCATTGAAGAGTGTTGATTCGATCTGCCAATTATGGACTTGCTAATTATGGAAGAAATTAAAGAATACGGTGTGGAAGTGATAGAATTGGAATGTTCACCTGATTATAGATCCGAATTAATAGATCAGGCACAGGTTGATCAAATAGTGAAGCACGGAGAGAGCGTTGTCTACTGTTGAGCATTCTTCGAATCCTGGGCTGGGCTTGGGTTTCGTAGCTTTTGGAATTCAAACCTGGGCCTACCATCAACTGGGCTGGAACCGAATGGAAGGGTGCAAAAAAAAAAAAAAAAAGGGTTGAACAGATAAACCAAACCGGATCAGTAGGTTTGATTTGATTTTTTAACGATTTTAAAAAACATGAAACTGTTTATAAATGGTTCGATTAGAGTTTAAAGTTCTATAAAACCAAACAGAACTATTTTATAAATTATAAATAAATAAATAAATAAATATATATATATATATTGTATTGTATAATAATAGAATAATAAGATTAGTCTTTTAACCACTCAACTATATATCATAATTATATTATAATATATATGTTAAATTATTTATATATATTATATTGAATTATAAAAAATCGTGGAGCCATGAATTCGAACCGAACCAAACCATAAACATGAAACTGTTTATAAATGGTTCGATTAGAGTTTAAAGTTCTATAAAACCAAACCGAACCATTTTATAAATTATAAATATATATATATATATATATATATATATATTTTGTATTGTCTAATAATAGAATAATAAGATTAGTCTTTTAACCACTCAACTATATATCATAATTATATTATAATATATATGTTGAATTATTTATATATATTATATTGAATTATAAAAAATTGTGGAGCCATGAATTCGAACCGAACCAAACCATCTTCTCACCATTTGGTTTGGTTCGGTTTCATTGGTTTTATGGTTCGGTTCGGTTTTAATTTTTATGAAACCTTTAAGAACTATTTGATTCTATAATATTTTTAAATCAGTCCAATCCAAATCGTGTGCATCCTTATTAATGCACTACGGCTGCTTGAATATATTTTTTTTATATATATTTTTTTAGTAGATGGTGGTAGTTAATTAGCTCCCAAAGTTAGGACATTTGGCACTGGCAATAGTGTTTATCAAAACAATAAAAGATCAGAAATGTTTAATAAAACAATAGTGTTTTTAAAGAATTATCAATTTTCCTTATTAGAGAAAAAGCTTAAAGACCCGAGCTTTATAATATAAATTATGTAAATATATATAATGAATTGGAAGAGTGCATTGAGAGAGAGAGAGAGAGAGAGAGAGAGAAAAGTTCAGTGACATGAAATTTTCAGTTTTTTTATTAGAAGAAATATGTGTTAATAAATAAGTTATTATCTATTTCGTGCAGTGCCTAAATTTTACATTAAATATGTAAAAAGTTTACATTATTTGTAATTATTGATGTATAAATGAGCTAATAAATAAGTTGCACTCTCTAATATATTTCATTTTATTTATTGAATTTGAAAAGATAAATCTATTTATATACTATTATAAAAGTTTAAGTGCTACCAACAACACCCTAGCGCTATTAGGCTCCTATTTTTTAAAGATAGATTAGAGGTTCAAGTCTTTAAAAAAAAAAAAAAAAAGTCTAATTGCTTTATTTATTATACTATCATAAAAGTCTAAGGGCTTTTTTTTCCCTATCTAAAATAAATAAATAATAATAATGATAATAAACTTTTAATGAAACTTCTAATGAAATGAAAAATCTTTGTTTCTATAGTTACTCCATTTCTCTGTTTAGATTGACTTTTCAAACGCTATTTTTAGCTTTTATAATTATTTAAGTATGGTAACCATTTTAAATTAATAGCTTTTGCGATTATTTGAGTAAGGTAACCATTTTAAATGAGAAGCTGCTAATTTAAATCTCGGTATCCTTCCAAACCTCATCAAAAGTTTTGCAATTTACCGTTTCTGTGCATTAACGATCGATCTAGGAGCATGCGTTAAACTCCCACTACCCCACCACACCCGAGTGTGTCCCCAAAGAGAAATCCTTTAATGCTCTTAGTATATTAATAATATGATATCACTAATTAATTAAATATTAACAGGTAGTTATAAAATTATGAGTAATGATTGACACGGCGGATTCTCTTGTTAACGTTTTTTTAGAGTTTCTAACCCAAATTTTTGCCCTTATCTTTATTACGTACCCCTCCTTGGCTCTCTCAAATTTTATCAAATCTTTTTCCAAAATGCGTATTCCATGACCACCATCTTCTCAATTCATAAATTCGTATAATACTGAAAATATTTCAACTACTCTACTTATTCTTTTTCTCGTCTTCTCTCTTCAAAGAAGACAAGACCAAGTTAATAAGCCACCATGATATAGACTAATATACCTATTTTGATGAAGTTTACGTACAAGATCTTAGAGAGAGATGGATAAATTTTTAAAGAGAAAAAATGATTGTAGAGTAAGAAAATATAGACCCAAATCCTATAGAGTAAACGTAAAGAAAAATTTCATAGAGAGAAGATGATAGAGAAAAAGTTTCGTAATTTGAGAGAGATGGAAAAGAGATGATTCAGACCCAAATCTGAGAGAGTGACGAGAATGTCAATCAGAGTTCGATGAACTGTGAACAATTTGAGAAAAGTAAATCGTAGAGAAAGAAAAATAAAGGATATGAAAAGAAGATAAGATTAAACATAAGGGTATCTTTGTCATTTGCAGAATTATTTTTTTCCAGGAAACAGGATTAAATGTTCATTTCTATCATTATTCTAAAATTATATATGAGAAGATGTAATTAATTGACAATACCAATGACATGGTATCACTTGTATAAAAAAAAGTCTCTCTCTTGCGAAGGCACTGAAAAGAGAGGCAACACCGCTTGCAAACTTATAATGAAAAGAAAACAAGTAAAAAAGTACCGGCTGGAACATATTTCATTCAATTACATTCTCTGCATGAAAAATAGTACAAGGGCAAAATATGCCAAGAAGAACAACTCAACGCTACTCTAACTGCGGGTGAATACATCTCATCATTCAACTAAATCCTACTCTCGGATGAGTTCTCTCTATCTTACAAGAATAACATAACAGCATAGGAAGAGCAACCCAGAAGCTAAAGGAGCCATATAATAGATGGCAACCTGATAGTCCCTTGTTCGATCATCATATAATAATAGATCACAAAACGTATAATGCCATGCCTGCTGCAAGTGTTTCTACATTCACTATCTCTTGCTTAATAAGAGAACTCATGTCCTCGAAGTGAGATGTACTTCTTAACCCAGATAGCAATGTCCTCTGCGCAAGCCTGGGCCTGAGGGGACTTAAGGAGCATGTCAAGGGTTGCAAATTCATGAACTGCATCCTTGTACTCGAGAACAGGTGCATCAACATTTACCTTCCGGAGCTCCTCTGAGTAAGCAATGGCCCGGTCTCTCATCCAATCGTGCTCTGCTACAACTGTTAGTGTAGGAGGCATGAGCTTCAATGGTGGCCCTCTACCAGGGACAAGGGGGTTGGCAGCAGGGTGGTCCAGGCTGAACTCCTCCTCAGGTAAAAAGAGTTTCCATGCAAGTATGCACATAGCCTTGTCATAGAAGTAGGAGTTTGCCAATTTTATCTCCGATTGTGTAGGAACACTTCCAATGAAGAATGGATACATCAACACCTGTGCCACCAACCTGACTGGATCCAGACGCTTGCCAGCCTCTACCGCTTTCCGGGCCACATAATCTGCAATGTTTGCACCACAGCTCACCCCAAGAAGAACACATCTGTTTCAATAATACCAATTTGTGTCAAAGGTTTAGTAACAAGATTTTCCTGATTGGGGTAAGATGAAGCAACGTCACATAATACATTATAATAGAACAATATAAAAAGTGAGCATGCATGCAACAACACTGCCTATACCTAAAGCTGGCAATACATCAGTTCTAGATGGGTTTCAATGGATCTGCTTTAGGCAGGTGAATAACTATTAAATCTTGCAGCTAGTTCACCACCCTTCACATAGGTGTCAGATTTCCCAGCTTTACCTATAACTGAAGAATAGAGCAAGAACATGCCAACTGTCTGAACTAATGAAGAACAAAAATCAGGCTAAATTTGAAAGGTTAAAAACTTCAATATTGTTATCAACAGGATGACAAAACCTATCAGCATGCTGTAATTATTAAAATTGAGCAACCAGAGGCGAAAAAAAAAAATTTATATATATCCAACATGAAGCAACAAGAGAGGGAAAAAAGGAAATAGTGCTAGCGTAGTAGGCACGGTAGCAGAGATGGAAAAGGAGGGAGATCAATGCGAGCAAGGGGTAATAGGCCTTTCTCCTCCAATGAGAACTTTAATGGCTCCATTCTAAAATGGCATCTTACAAATTAAATGCCTTACCAAATGGATGTTCCACAGTTGTTCAAGTGATAAAGCAAAGGCAGACACGAAATGTGAAAGAAAAACACATTTCTACAATATTTTCATCACCTTCTCCTACGGCCTTTTCTTTTGGAAGTGTAATAATGAAACTACTAGCAAAACCTGATTTTATTCTTTCTTTAACAATTCAACTCATATGACCCTATTAAAGTTCTGCCTGAAACCAATTCATGCATTCCAAAATACCTTCAGGACTTAGCTTATGGAATGACAGTCCCAATTATCAACCATTATCTCATTACTTACCACACATGCGCTCGTACACACACACAGACTCAGAGAGAGGAAATGGGTTGCTATCTCATTAACGAATGTTAACTAATACACAAATTATGACAAACTTCTTCTCTGCCACGTACACATATACATCATCACAATGAATACATTTTTCATATCACCTGAAAAATAATTCTACGACCATCTCTGCAGAATTGACTTCAGTAATCACACAGGCCCAAAATCATTATTACCAAAATGACTCGTATTGGACTTGAAGGACACCCGAGGACAGAGGTTCCTTGTTAAATACCATGGGCCATCATCTATCCATTTAATAAGCCACAGGAACTTCGTAGAATTCTATTTCGATTCATGTTCCCTAGCCTGTAAGACTGAAGAGCATAAAAAAAAATTGAAATGACAATTACGTTTGATGTCAACAGAAATACAATTATCAAGCCGTGGAGTTCAACAAAGCATCTACAACATATTCCATTCTAATTCACCTTCCCTAGTCTGTGAAGAGCAAAAAGGTTGAGATGGAGAATAGATTCGGTAGATCTAAATGGAAAAAGATGTACTAAGCTGTGGGTTTTGACAAGGCATCAACGACACATCCCATTTCAAATTGATGTCAATAATCAAAGTTTGATGTAAATAATATTTTTCAGAATATGGTTCTATAATTTCTCCTACAAAATGTCCCAGACGGGGATGAGGGAGCGAACACTTTGCTAGAGGACCATATTTAGAATAGCAGCGTTCTACAGCAGGTTCATAGATCCAATGGATCAATGAAGAGCTAAGACATATACAAACAATTATGCACGCTAGAGCACAAAGAGAGAACTGGAGAGGAAACATATTAAGCCAAAAGGTCTATAGGTTTTGGAGCATGCAAGAAGTACTGTGCTAGCTAAATATATTTCATAAAGGTTTCAAATATTAATTACATTTTTTGTAACACTTATAAAAAAAACTAATAAAGAAGAATTTATAATTCCCATATGGAGAACAACTGAATCTAGATCTTCATTCTAGACTTTAAAATTTTTCTATGATATAGAAAGTATTTCATTTTCTAAAACTCTTATTATCATTTTGCATTCATTGTCATCAACATCCTTGCCTTTATCACTTGGGCAATTCCCTTTTTTCCCATTCATTCGTATAATTTTTTTACAAGCCATATTTTCTATTTTATTTGTTACAATCATTTCTAATTCCGTGAGTTTTGGCTAGCCTCTTTTGTATATCATCTTCCATGAAACAATACTTCCTTTTCTTACTGGGGCATCTAGGGGTCCACATTGTATATAATCATATTACTTAAGTCTACCCTCTCTAATTTTATCACTAATACGTATCAATAATAGGTGCCACTCATAATTTTCCCTCACGTGTTGGTTATAAATCATTTTCCATTCAAAATGCCTTTTGTTTCTTTTCCTACATTACAAGCTATTTCTTGTACAAATATGCAAGGCACTTAAGAGCCCGAATCTTCCTTTATTTAGTTTAAGGCATGCTCAAAATTGAAGCAGGATTTCTTGCCAAGAGAACTATAGTCAGTAGTCACACAACTCAAATAAAAAAATCAAGGAATCGGAAAGATTCATCTAATTAAGTTTCAAACAATAACAAAAAGAAGCATAACCATGTTGATTTTAAGCAGTGGTAACGAAGCATAATTAAACAATAATTCAGTTACATATAATTTCAGAACATATAATCTTGATTGTTAATTCCTTATGTTATTGTGCAAACAATAGTCAGTAGTCACAGAACTCAAATAAAAAAAATCAAGGAATCAGAAAGATTCATCTGATTAAGTATCAAACTATAACAAAAAGAAGCATAACCATGTTGATTTTAAGCAGTGGTCTGTCTCTCCATAACCACGTTACGTAGCATAATTAAAACAATAACATAACTTAGCATAATCTTGACTGTTAATTCCTTATGCTATTGTGCAATAACATAAACTTTTCCCCAAATTTATGGTTCGTTCTTCCAATTTGAAAACAATTAGTAATAGGTATTCAGCTTAATTCCTAATCACCCATTCACTATGGATTTTCCTTAACAGATCAAAATTAGAATAATTGCCTAAGAAGATAAAAGCAACTATGAATTATAAGTCAGGCAATGAAATCAAAATGTAACCTGGATGGATCTCCATGCGCAGCCAACCAGGGCTCCACCATGGAGGCCCCAAACGCATCTGAAACCGATTTCCTCATATCGGCTCCACCGCCCCGCTTATTCCCCAATGACTTGCTACATTCAGCCAAATTGGCCTGCTTCGTCAACCAATACAACACCTTCAACCCATCCTCAAATGCTGCAGGATACCGTTTTTCCGGCGCAAGCCTATACCCAACAGCCAACACAATCACATCACACAACTTCGCTATTCGCCGGCAAAAGAAATCGTTCGCCACCGAATCGCTGCTCCCACTCACAAACCCACCGCCGTGAAATTGCAGCATCACCGGCAGTTTCCGACAATTGTCGACCAATGGAGAATAACCCCTGTAAACACCACTCTCGGATTTCACATTCAAATCGTCATTACTACAACCATAACTATTTCTTCTTCGATCGTCCGTATGCGCCACTTCAATGGCGGTCCCAGACGACCCATAGCTGTTACGACGGAGAAGTGCGTGATTCGGATCGTTAGGAGCAGAGCCCACTTCAAGATCGGGCTTTCTGGGTATAGCCCTAGCCCTAGATTTCGATTCTGACTTAGAATCTGAAACTGGCGAGACTAAACAGGTGTCGGGGAGGAAGATTCGGATGGAGATAGAGGTGTTGGGGTCTATGTGGATGTCCTTGGTGGCGACACCGTCGGTGAAGGAAGGGTTGGCGGCGGCGACTGACTCTTCGGGCCGCGACGTGATTCCGAAGGGGTGGTTGGTCTCATCGCGAGGGCTCTGGATTCGATTCTGTAGACGGTGTTTGAGAAGAAATTTGAAGAAGACGCTGTACAGCTTCACAGCAACGCTTGGCATTTCTCTGTGTATGTGTATGTGTGTGTGTGTGTATATGCGTACACACACCTCTCCGTTGTGTCTTTATCTTTGAATCGTGAGGTGTTTTAATTTTATGATGATTATAAGTTCATGGCCTATAACGATGACAGTGAGATTCACAATCTTTGATTGATCTATAAAGAGATCACATTGAATTATGCGTTTTGAAAAACCAATATTTCACAAAAGATAAAAGGAGATAGTAGATAGCTTCAATCCAATGTTTCAATGGCAGATAGAGAGAGAAAGAAGAGAGAGAAAGGGAGGAGTGCTAGGATGCGTAATGGGCGCAAACACATACTCCGAACGCAAGTGATTAGGCTGTTTTTTGGCTTTTCGGGACTGTGTCGGGGTTCGTTCCGTGTCCGGTACTGCTGTACAAACTTTTCTTTTCTTTTTGGCAAAAGCGCAAACAATTGAAATATTACAAATCTGACATTTTATTTTCTTAGATTACAAAAATAAATAAATTGATACCACAACTATCACAAATAGTATAAAATAACTCCTGGAACACAATTCTAGTCACTTTTCAGCCTGCAAGGTCAGCACGACTGTTATTTTCTTTTAATTCCAAAATTATCCTAGAAAATTACTGTTGAAAAACAAAGTTTATACATGTGTGTGTGTTTTTCTGTATTATTTATTTATCCTATAAAAGTGTATTCTATTTGTATTTTTTATATACACTTTTTTGTAATAATATTATACACTTCTCAAATAACTACTGACACCTCTTCTAAAAGTCAACTTTTATTATTTATATACAATGAAATTATTTAATTTATTTTAATAAATAAATGTGGCTTTTCAAATAACTACTGACACCTCTTCTAAAAGTCACATTTTAACTGCACTAACATCTTAAAGTCATCTTTTAACTTGAAACACCTGTATATAAAAGTGTATTCTATTTGTATTTTTTATACACTTTTTTGTAAAAATATTTTATATTTCTCAAATAACTACTAAAACCTCTTCTAAAAGTCACCTTTTATTATTTATATATAATTAAATCATTTAATTTATTTTAATAAATAAATGTGACTTTTCAAATAACTATTAACACTTCTTCTAAAAGCTTTTCAAATAACTACTGACATCTCTTCTAAAAGTCACATTTTAACTGCACTAACACCTCTTCTAAAAGTCACATTTTAACTTGAAACACCTATATATAAAAGTATATTCTATTTGTATTTTTTATATATATATTTTTGTAAAAATATTATATACTTCTTAAATAAATACTAACACATCTTCTAAAAGTCACCTTTTATTATTTATATACAATTAAATCATTTAATTTATTTTAATAAATAAATGTGACTTTTTAAATAATTACTAACACCTCTTCTAAAAGCTTTTCAAATAACTACTAACACCTTTTCTAAAAGTCACCTTTTAACTGCACTAACACCTCTTCTAAAAATCACCTTTTAACTGCACTAACACCTCTTCTAAAAGTCACCTTTTAACTACAAACACCTATATATAAAAGTGTATTCTATTTGTATTTTTTATATATACTTTTTTGTAATAGTATTATATACTTTTCAAATAACTACTGACACATCTTCTAAAAGTCATTTTTTATTATTTATATGCAATTAAATTATTTAATTTATTTTAATAAATAAATGTGACTTTTCAAATAACTACTAACACCTCTTCTAAAAGTCACCTTTTAACTGCAAACACCCAAATATATATATATATATATATATATATATATATATATATATATATATATATATATATAAATATAACATTCATATCACCCTATATCTCACTCCTCTCTATTTTTTTCCATCTCTCTTTGAAAAGAATTTCTTCACAAAAAGTTTGTTAGAGGTTTCTTCTTCCACAAATAATGTCAACGGCTTTGAGAGGAGATTCATCTTTTGGTTCATGTACATCAAATTACAACTCAAAACCCTTTTAAATTTTTTTTAAAGGTATGTTTTAATTTGAATTGAAGAGCAATTTATATATTTTATCTTTCTATCTAATCATATATATATTTATATTGTTTCATACAAAATTAATACATGGGGAGTTATTATATTTTATATGTTCTCCTAATAGTTCAGTTCTGGATTTTTTTTTTATTACGATGTGAAAGTAATATGCATGAATATTAAATTTGTTCTGTTCAGAAAAATTACATGGATAAAATATATGAAATATTGTATTTTATATGCAATATACATGTGCAAGTATATATAGATAACTGACGTCTATAATCGTTGATTGAAATGTCAGTTAGTTATCATAGAATTCTTTCACGAACGAATCATTATATATACACTACATAATTAATTCATGAGGAGTTTTTATATTTTATATGTTTAAGTGTATTCAATTTTTTTTTTTTTTTTTTTTTTAACCAACGGGCCAGTGGCCTAGCGGTATCAGCCTCTTACTTCCCAAAGGGAGGTTAGGGGTTCAAGTTTCATAAGAGACAGTTTGTGTGAGTACCAACTAGGAATTTTTTTTATTTTTTATTTTTTACATACATTTCAAAATAAATTCTTCATTTTACAAAAATAGTATACTGTTTTTTTTTTTTCTTTTTTTCTCCAAAGAGGCGACATTTCCTTTTTTTTTACACACTGTTTTTGTTTTCTTACTTTCTTCTTTTTTCCCAAAGAGTTCTTGTTTTAAACAATTTTTAAATTTTAATTTAAATTAATCTTACATGCACTCTAGATTCTGGATTTCTTTATTGAAAAATCAACTTTAATTATGTGGATTTCTTTATTAAAAAATCAACTTTTATTGATATTTTATTGGATTATTATTTTTTTATAAAGTTTTATTTATACTATTTATATTGTATTATAACAAAGTGTTTTGGCTTCTTTATATCTTATTTGCGTATATAATGTGTTTATTTTTTCATGTTGCTTTTCTGTCTAATTCTTTATTCCTTTCTTGTTTATTTCTCTAGAAAATGTTGTTTTTCATATACGTTCTCTACTTTGCCTAATTCTTTCCAAAGTATTTATAATTCTGTTATATAATGTCTTTATATTTGAAAGAGATTTTTGGAAGTATGTTCGGTGGAGATTTAGGATAAGACTACTGATAAATGAAAAAACACTTTAAAGTTACATTTAGAATAAAATGGTATTTAGTTCAATCAGTTTAATATATTTATAACCCTTATAAAATGGGATTCATTTTGTATTATTTATATGCACTAAATTTTTTTAGTTTAAAAATGAAACACAACTTTAAATATTTGTTTTCTCAAGAAACTTGATTTTTCAAATAATAATAATAATAATAATTAAACTATTGTAACAGACAGCTTCTAACTGTAAGCACCTTCTCTATCCTAAAATAATAAATATTTTCTCTATCCTAAAATAATTAATATTTTTTGTATTATCTATATATATATATACACACACATAGTTTTCAATTTACATTATACACCATTTGGATTCATAGTTTTCAATTTACATTATACACCATTTGGATTTCTAAACGTTACATTTTTTAGCTCGCCGTTCAGCTCACCTTGCTCGTCGTTCAGCTCACCTTGCTCGCTGGTCCACCGTTCAGCTCACCTTGCTCGCCGGTCCATTCCATCATCCATTCCATCGTCCATTCCAAGCTCGCTGGCCTATTCCGCCATCTCCATAACCGAGCACACCGCCGTCCGTGTATCGAGCACACAGTCGTCCACAGTTCACCGCCGAGCCCCCTTGAGCTCACCGCCGCCTCCACAGTTCACGGCCGAGTCAACCGAGCTCTCATCACAACCGAGTCCTCCGCGCACAAGCCGCCATTATCCGAAACCGAGCCATTCCGCCGACCTTGGATTTTTTTGGTCTTTTCTCTCTCTCTCTAGCTCTCTGTTTTGGGTTGTGTTGGGTGAAAAATATCTTTTGGCAGAAAAAAATGTAAGAAGTGTATAAGTTAAAACGACGCAGTGTTTTATAAGGGTAAACTGGTCTTTCAAAATTTTCGGTGCCGGAAGCTGATGTCATGGGGGTAAATTGCAACAAAATCAGAGTTCAGGGGGGTAAATTGCAACAAAATCATAGTTCAAGGAGTTTTTTTGTAGTTTAGGGGGGTTTCTTGCAAATGACCAATAGTTCAAGGGGGTAAATTGAAACAAAATCATAGTTCAGGGGAGTTTTTTGTAGTTCAGGGGGGTTTCTTGCAAATGACCAATAATTCAAGGGGGTTTAATGCACTTTACCCTATATAATATAATTATTGACTATTGCAGAAGACAATAGTTTATTTACTTCTTTTAATTTTTGAGTCGTGATACTTAGACAGAAAAGTTAGACCGATTTGTTTGATAGAATTTATGTGACACAAAAAGACAAATAATATTTAGCAGTGGGGTCATGCTGACTCATTACAAAGCATTGAACTTCTAATTTTATTTCCGATCCCCTAATTGTTCGTCATCTATTAAAAATTTAATTCCTTCTTTAATTATCTCTATTTTTTTTTCTATAAATATCTCTGTACTAACCATTCATCTTCTATTAGTTATTTAGTTCCTTCTTTAATTATCTCAAATTTTCTTATGGGTTTGATTGGTTTAATTGATTTCAAAATAAAATACCCAAAAGGTAAAGGTAATACAAATATATGAAGATGATTTTATTAACTGGACTCCATTAACATTCATTTTCTACAATACAATTTAATTTTATTAAAATGATTTTATCATAAAAAAAATTATACAAAGAGTCTCAACAATCACTTTGGACTCCATTAACATTCATTATCTGCAATACAATTTGATTTTATTGAAATTTTATAAGTAGATCATCACTAATAATTAATCAAATCTCTCTGCAATTACATAAAGGTATCCGGTTGTGCGATGAGATGACTAAAGAGAAACCGAAGAGAGAGAATGAAAAAAAAAAAAGATAAAAGAAAAATATTGGACTTCTTGGATAAAGATAAGAAAGGATAATAAAGAAAAAGGAAGAGAGAGAAACTTAATAGTTATCACTTTAAATATTATGACATGGCATAGTCATATCGACCACCACATGAATTAGGTCAGAGAAATCAATTTATCTCTTCGGTGCAAGTATCATTTTCCTTAATTTTTTGCTTCACATTTTCATTGTCCATGAACTTCTCAACGGTAGGAAGTTCCTTTTTTTTCTTTTTTTCTTTTTTTTTTTTTCCTTGGAAAGTAGCTAGTAGCTAATATGCTTGTCGGCATCACAAAGGATGATTATTTGACATCATTTCCTATAATTTGTATAATTACATAAATCTCTTTTACAATTTGTCATAATTATAAGGACCTTTCTTGTGGTTTGAGAATTTACTTGAATCTCCCTTAAAAATAAAAATATCATACACGAATCTACCTTCTGACCGCACTAACGAACGTGTCAAATTTACTAAACTACCCTTAATTTTATGATAAATGACTAAAATACCCTTAATTTTATAATAAATGACTAAAATACTCATATAAATAAGGGTGAATTGCAAATAACACCCCTCGATTTTCATCCGTTAGCAAAAAACTCCCCTTATGAATTTTTGTAGCAAAAAATCCCCCTCAACTATCATGAGGGGGTCATTTTAACTAACCTCCGTCCAAGTGATTTTCTAGCCAAATTTTTGGACCAATTAACCCCCTCAACATCTTCAACAGCTCCACAGCCACTGTAAGAGGAAATCCCCGGAAAATGGGTATATATATATATATATATATATACACTACTAGATATATTTGTATATATACATGACCATATCTTATGAACTTTTTTCATCATCTAAGTGACAAAGTATGGAATTTTTTCAAGATAGGTTGCTTTTATTAGAGCATCTCCAACCTACCTGCTATATGGGCTGCCAATTCAAAATATAGCAAGTGGGTTAAAATTAGGCCCTCCAATGAGCTGTTATTTCACCTGCCAAAAATTGCCTTTGCTACTTTTGGTGCCAAATCTAGCAAAACTTATAGCAACACCTATTTCTATATCTCTCAACCCTATCTATCTCTCTCTCTTTCTCTTCCCCTCTCATCCTCATATGTGTGTGTGTGTGTATATATATATATCTCTTTCTTCTTACATTGGTTTTGAAAGAGATCATAAAAAAAAAAGTAAAAAGAAAAAAGTGCAAGTTAGCAATTGTAGAGAGAGAGGGGGACAAGCTTGATAGTTGAGAAACAGCGGCTGAAGCTTGCAAACTGCGAACCCGAACCGGAACAGCAGGTGATGGAAACTGAAAGATATGGGTTTTGAACTTCTGATTCTTGTTGATTTTGTAGTTTGCAATTGCAGAGAGAGGGGGGGAGCAATTTCAGAGTTGAGAACAAGAATAGAGATGGAGGGGATTGGGGAGGCTGAAATGATTTGCCCTAAAACTATATATGGCAATTTGGGAGGCTGAAATGATTTGCCCTAAATATATATATATATATATATTTTAAATAATAATATAATTAAATATATATATTATACATATATGTATTATACATATATATATATATATATATATATGTATAATATATATATTTGGGTCATTTTTTTATCATATATTTTTGATTTTTGATTTTTTTTTATTAAATTTAATTTTAGTTTCCTTTTAATGTCTACAACTTGACTTAGAATGTGCCTAATATTAACATTACTAAAGCAAATATGAATGGTGTGAATAGTAAATGAAAAAGAATAGTTATTGTATCAAAAAAGAGCATTTTGCATAAAATGCATCATTGGAGTAGAATTGCTAAAATATAGCATTTTGACACTATAACATTGTCAAAATATAGATTTGGCATCCGAATTTAGTATTTTACCATTGGAGATGCTCTTAACTCTTGGCTTACTGCTCTGCTGACTAACACTGTTTTGGTTTCTTCAAGAGGTGCATTTTACACAGCACCAAAAGTTCCACATTTGACAGATAGCTTCAGTCATGTCTCAGTCAGTGAAGGGTTCTCTAAATCTTTTGGTCACTCCAATGTCCATCCCACCCGAAATGGGTCTAGCGTCGATCTCATTCAATGCATATTTCTGAACCTACTTTACATATTATTTTTATTTCTAAAATATTAATTAATTGGGGTTGATTGGGGACAAACTAGGGACCTTGCGGAATCAGAGCACCGTTGAAAGACGTGGAAAGAATTGCCTCGGCGATGGATATTTAAGGTCCCCGCTGGCGACTCGATGAGGTTGTTGACGAGGACCTTGCGTTACCTTGCGAGGGAAGCGGCGACAGACGGTGTTTGGGGCGAGGCAGATGGTGTCGTAGGCTTTGGTGTCGGCACTAAGGTAGGTGAATCTGCCACTGTGGAAGAAGACACTGATGGGGAGGAGGTCGTCGAACGGTGGTGGTCTGGTTGGAACGAAGGTGCTGACCCAGAGATTCGGGTGGAGTCGACGGTGAGGTTGGAGGTCTTGACGCCTTTGATGGTTTTAGAATTGGGTGGAGCTTTGATGTCGAGGAAGCGGAGAAGACTGTGATTATGGTGGCGTTGGAGGCAAGAGTGGTGATGGTGGAGATGATGGGAGGGTATTTTCCGGCGATCTCTTACCTTACCTTTTAATTTTAATCAAACGGACAGTGTCAATTCAAGCACACTGTAAAAGAATACTTCACTACGTACATAACACACAAACAATCACACAGCGACTTGCAACCAAACGATTTCATTGCCATTTCAATTCATGACCCAACCTTCCTCCCTCTCCATCTCCACATACTCTCTTTATCCCTCTGCATTTTCCGGCTGCAGATCTATTAAAGATGTTAAGGGGGTAATTTGGTCCGAAAACTTGGCTAGAAAATCACTTACACGGAAGTTAGTTAAAATGACCCCTCATAAATAATATATAAAGGAATTTTTTGCTACAAAAATTTATAAAGGAATTTTTTTACAAACGGACGAAAGTGTGAATTATTTGCCATTCGCCCCCATAAATAATATATATATATAAAGTGCACATAAAAATAATAAATTTACTCATCTACCGTCGTATTATTATATCTATATATACATCTATATCTGTCTCCATCTTCAGACACTGTAGATCGCTGTCCCCTGTCGCCGGAGATCGCTGCAAATCAACCCCACAACCACCATCCCATAACCACACCATTGTTCCCATAACCACCACTGCTCCCACACAACCACCACTCACCCCACAACCACCTGTAATCCTCACCGCAACCACTGTTCTCACCCCCACAACCACTTGGCAACGCATCCACCATCCCATAATTACCATTGTTCCCGTCACACCACTACCACTCACCCCACAACCACCAGCAATCCTCACCGCAACCACTTTTCTTACCCCATAACCACTGTCACCATTCCCACAGCCGACCACCACCACCACCACCACCCCATAACCGACGGTGATTTGATGGTGGACTGTTAAGAGACTACGCAAATACCCTAATTTGAAAACAAATCCAGAGTTCCAATAATCGAATGAGGATGTAGATTCAGGAATCGAAGGGTTCGTGATTTAGGGGCTTAGTAGAGAAAGATGATTGGGTGTGAATGTCGTGCGATTAGAGGTCGTTACCGGCCATTGCAGACCCTCGCCACCGCCGTCGCCGTCACAGATCGTCGTCCCTGCAAATCCGGTCAATGAACCACCACATCCATGACAAAACCCACCACATCTCCACGACAAACGGACAAAACCCACCACCATCCAGCACAACCACCATCAGAATGACCACCGACACCACCACAACCTGTGTCGACATCACCACCGCCATCCCCACCCACAACCATCGCCGCCATCCAAACCAGATCCACTGTATTGACAAGCAATTATTTAGCCAATAGTTTATAGGGATTCCCTTGGAAAAGATTCAACTATCGTAAGACTTTTGGAGTCCTGTAGCTTCTAAGGCATCTGTGTCAAAAGAGATATATATATATATATATATTAAGGGTAGTTTGGTCCACTGTATATATATATATTTTTAATAATATTATAGGCATGGTAAGGATGATGGTATTATAGACATTTTACTTAATTTATTAAATGACATAAGCGCATTCCGTCTTGTTTTCTGTTGACTCTAAGAGAAGAAATGTCAATGTAGAATATTTTCATTTTTAGAGGTAGTCTGAGTAAAATTTTGAAGCACAAGGAAAGGAAAGTCTATGTAGAGGAAGTAGTGTATTATACCCTTATGTGATTAGATTGTTCAGGAAATAAAAAAGACAGAGAGCCAATCATGTTGCACGGAGAGGATAAACTATTAATCCCTATACCCTCCAGCACGAGGTTAGATCCAAAACTTAGTTTAACTTAATGGCTTTGGGAGGAACTGCAATGGAATCATATTCATGCAATATTGTTCTCACTTCAAAAGCAACTACATTCATCGAGTTTATCTAGAACAGCAAATCATTGCAAGTTTTTAGTTCTTGAAAATAACAACCAATCATTTTAGTTCTTGAAAATAACAACCAATCATTAATAAGTAGTTCAACAATAAGATTATAATTGCTGCCATACAAGGAAAAAAAGAATAAAATATTTCAACAGCCAAGATTTCACTTTATCATGTAGCTGCAACAGAGAATCGTACAAGTGATAGATACATCAACAATAGATCTTTGGCACTTCAGCAACACAGGACACTTTCGAGGAATGACGCTTCACTGCCAGCTGCTTAGTCGGGTAAGAATTGTAACCACTTCTATTTCCTCCTCCTTCCTTTCCTGGTCATACGGAAGTCTTGAAAGATTTCCGGGCAGACCACAGTGATCATATTATAGTCTCTGAGGATCACTTCGAATTCCAGGCATCAATGAAGCATGTACAGAAGCACCAATGCAAATATTCATCACCTCTTCCACCCAATAAGATTGATTCCAGACGTGATACAACAGGGTGCAGAAATATACAAAGCAGGAGGAAGAAACATGAAGATCACACAAGCACCAGGAGGTCATAAAAAACGAAGAATGGAACAAGTATTATATCATCTGGGAAATGAAAAACAAAACTGTTACAGCCACTAAAAACATCATCTCCTGCTGAAGAACACCACAACTACACTGACCAGACTGAGAGTTTAATGTTCCATCAAAGCGGTTTCAGTTTCTGACAACGGCGCTGCAAGAGAGAGAGAATGAAACAAACTTTCAAAACAAAAATGTTAAAAATAAGAGATTCAAAATTGAAGCAGACATCATCTATTGGTTGACCAAGTATTTATAATGAACAAAGAGGCAACTCTAACAAAACGACTCTCTCTCTCTCTCACTCTCTCTCTACCAATAGGCATTAGCCCAGAAGGTATCTCTTCGCCAAAGGGAAGGTAAGTCTCAAGCTAGAGACATTATTGTGGTTGCGCCTGTGTGCACGCACCGCTATGTGTGTGGACTTTGGGGGAGGGGGGCAACCCATCTAAATCAAATATACACGACAACTTGTCTCCCTCCAAGAACCCAATTTCATGTGCATGTTTTCAAACTGTTTAGCCTTTCATTCCCTCTGGAGTAACTGAGTATCAGATGTATATGTAGATACATCGACCTCTCCCAATGCTTTCCATTATTACACTCAGTGAAAACTTTTGAAAAAGTTATCCCATGCTCTCCTCAACTTTGGCATGTGATTACAACCACCTCCCACTGTCCAAAATACTGTTTCTTCAGTCAAAAAAATTGCATGCACTCACCAAAATGCCATCAGCTCATTCAAAATGATATTATTACCCTTAGTTGTAACGAAATGAAATTGACCCAAATGCAAGTGAAATATAAGTGTAATGGAAATGCCGTTCGTAAATGTCTCTCGGCTAGGACGGTGGTTGTATTGTGAGGGCAAGTTTTGTGGTTGTACAAGGTGAACCAAATATAGTAGTTGTACGCTTCAAGTACATTCGGGTTCCTACAAATGGAAGACTAGACATCGAAGCAGAGAGTCTTAGAAGATTTTAATTAAGGCATTAATTCTCATTCTTCTGCCTGGGTTCAGATCAAGTAAGCTGTCATTTATGTACTTTGCTGGCTTCAAAATTGCCGTTGGAAGTTGAAACTCCCAGCTGTGAATCTTCTGATACATGTTGGGGATATTGTTGTCCTAAAAAGGGAGAAACCCGACGAGGAATACAAATAGGATGACCCCCCAACTTGTCAACCTTAGCACTGTCCTAGCCTTTTCAGGTGAAACCTCTGAAACGGATTATTGAAATCAAGTGACGAACAATATATATTGTTAGCATATATGATACCACGATTTATGGAATGACTTACCATAATAGCAGAAATTTGACTATGCTATAGAATATGCCATAGAATATGCTTTAGAATAGGTTGTGATTTGATTTAGATTTGATTTAGTTTTCTTTCTTGTAATATGAGCATGTTGTCACGCCCCGCCTATGGAGGTTGTACCACGCAGGTGACACGCAGACGCTAAGGAGGACGCTGCATGGCAACTGCATGGCAAGTGGAGTTTCTAGAGTCTTCCGGAGTAGTCTAGAGTTGTGTGGAAGATTCTAGATATGTGTAGTATATTCTAGAAGTGTGTGGAAGGTTCTAGAATTCTCCAGAATTGTGTGGAGTAGTATGGAGGGTTCTAGAATGTTGTAGATATGTATGGAGATGTGTAGAAGGTGGAAGAAGATTCTAGATAATCAATCTCCACCGTTGGTTAGAATGCATCCTAGCCATCCATTAGGGATGGGGATGCCTATAAATAGGAGTAGGACTTCATTTTGCAAACAACAAGTCCTAGAGTGAGTCTTGAGAGCCTTGTAGAGAGCTTGAGTGTTAGCCTTGTACAAAGCATTCTTTGAAGTAATAGAAGTGTTCTTTCCTTGCCAACTTAAGTGCCTTAGTGTGTGTGAGTGTGCAAGCCAAGTGAGGAGAGGGCAAGGGCAACTACAACACTAGTAAGCGCACGAGGGGAGTGTGTTGGCTAAGGTGTGCACGGGAGTTAGGCTGACCAAGTACTTGCGAGAGTGAAAGCAACGTCTTGGTGCCGCACGGGAGCAGCTAGAGTGGTGCTGAAACTCTAAGCCCGTGACAATGTGCTCTTTTTATCTATAAATACTATGAATGAGTAATTCATCTCATTCAAGCCTTTCTGCAATTCTCTCATTTATCTTCTTTTTATATTTCTACTCGGTATTAGAGCCAATACCTTTCCACACCTTTCAGTAGCCTTGCTACTTGTGCGACAGCCACCTTAGGCTGTTTGTGATATCGTGTGACATTGCCTACACATGTTTTTCTATGTTGTTGTTTTGTGATCGAAGTCATGTATTTTTAAGTTTCACAATTTCTTTTTCATTCTTCTAGGGTTGAGTTAATTGGGATAGTTGGTCTGCAACACCTAGAAGGGCTTAGGTAAAAAAAAAAAAAAATAGTCTACAAAGAGGTTCCGAATATTAAAAAGGAGGCTGTCTGGCTATATGTAAGCGGGCAGCACTCCTTAAAAAAAGTATGTATTTGGACTTTTCGGGAATGGTCTGAGGAGACATTGTTATTGTTTATGGTGTGAGGAGACACTTTGATTTATTAACAAAATTTGTGGTGTTTTTGGAGTTTTTTTTTTATTGTCGTGTGACAGATTATGGCAGATTCAGGGCTCTCGACTGTTAATTCTCTTGGCTCAAGTTCTATGGGTGGTGATGCCATTTTTCGCACCAACTCATCAGAAAATCCAGGACTTCAAATCACCACAGTGAAGTTGGATGGTTCTAGCTATTTGATCTAGGCACAGTCTGCCAAGATGTTCATTGGTGACAAAGGCAAGATTGACTATAGTACTGGTTCTGAGAAAGAGCCAGCTGAGTCAGAGAAGGCATATCCACAGTGGTTTGTAGATAACGCTATGGTTATGTCTTGGCTAATCAATTCGATGCATCCAAGCATAGCTGTTGGCTATATGTTTATGAAGACTGCTAAGCAGATTTGGGATTCAGTTCAACGCACTTATTCTCAGAGGCAGAATAATGCACGAATTTTCCAGCTGGGGCGAGATATCATTAGGATTTCTCAGGGTGACTTAACAGTTTCAGGTTACATCGCCAAGCTTCATGCTATTTGGAAGGAGATGTCATATTATGATTCCTTCCACTCTTGGAAGGATCTAGATAATGCAGTTTTATATGCAGGGATTGAGGGGAAGAATCGAGTTTGTCAGTTTCTTGCCGTTTTGAACGACGAGTTTGAGTATGCTTGTGTTCATTTATTGGGCTTATCTTCATTCCCTACTCTTGAGGATGCATACTCCTATGTGTTGTTAGAGGAGAGCCGTCGGACTCATCCATTAGGTGTTGCTTCTGTTGATCGTTCTGCTTTGGCAGTTCGGGTTCCCAACCTTTTAGGAACTGCACCATCCCAGTCAATTCAGAGCTCTACCACCGGTCCTCCTCTAGGATGACAACGCGGACGGTGTGACCATTGCGGAAAAATTGGTCACATCAAATCTCGTTGTTATGCTCTACATAGACGCCCACCGCAACAGAAACAACAGCCTTGATCCTCTGCACATTCTGTTACACAACCAGTCTCGTTGTCAACTCCTGATAACTCTACCTCTACATCTTCTGCCACAGTTACCTTGACTCAAGTTGATTTGGATAAGTTCAAGCAATTCTTCAACCAAATGGAGGCATCATCTCAGCCAACCTCCACTTATGCCCACTCAAGTACTATTGCATCTGCACAAAGCGTATCTACATCTTCGACACCATGGATCATTGATTTTGGTGCTTCAGACACTATGACTGGTATGTCCTCACTCTTCCAATCTTATAGTATCTGCTCTGGCCATCGCAAGGTCCACCTTGCGGATGGCTCTCCATCTTCCATTGCTGGGAAGGGTCACATATTTGTTACTCCTTCATTAACTTTGTCAGATACACTTCATGTTCCAAAGTTGACTACAAATCTTATTTATATTAGTAGCATTACCAAACAATTAAATTGTAGTGTAACGTTCTTTCCCTCTCATTGTACTTTTCAGGATCTGGTGTCGAAACGGACAATTGGCAGTGGGCGTGAAGTGGACGGTTTATACCTGTTGGATGCTCTTTTGTCACCTCAGGCACATTTAGCTTCATTTTCTAATATTATTTCATCTAATAAAGCCCAGCTTATGCGTTGGCACATGCGTTTAGGACATATTTCTTTTGGTTATTTAAAACATTTATTTCCTTCCTTATTTTGTAACGTGGGAGTGTCAGATTTATCCTGTGAGATATGTCATATGGCTAAACATGTTCGTTCCAATTATCCAGTAATAAATCTGCTTTAACACCTTTTGATCTTGTTCATTCAGATGTGTGAGGTCCTTGCCCAGTTACTTTTAGTCTTGGATTTCGATATTTTGTGTTGTTCATTGATGATCATAGTCGTGTTACATGGGTTTATCTTATGAAAACCAAAAATGAGGTATACACCATTTTAAAAATTTTATGACAATGGTTCAGACTCAATATGGTCGTACTATTAAAAAATTCAGATTTGACCAGGGTATGGAGTACACTTATGGGGAGGTACAACGGTTATGTATAGAATTTGGGATTGAACGTCAGATCGCTAATGTTAAAACTCCTCAACAGAATGGTCGTTCTGAGAGAAAGAATCTCAACATCTTTGATTTAGCCAGAGCAATCTGCATTGGTATGAATGTTCCCCAGTCATTTTGGGGAGATGCAGTTCTTACAGCCGTTTACATCATTAATAGGACTCCTTCTAGGGTTTTTAACTTTGCAGCCCCAATCTCAATTTTACATCTCAATTCATCTCTTTTTTTGATTCCTCCGCGATTCTTCGGGTGTGTGTGCTTTGTTCAGTAGTTGGGGCAGACTCATACAAAGCTTGACCCCAAGGCTTTGAAATATGTGTTTTTGGGCTATTCACTCTCAAAAAGGTTATAGGTGTTACCATCCTCCCAGTCGTCGGCGGTTTATATCCATAGATGTTTCTTTCTTTGAGCATACACCATACTATAGTGATTCAGTTGGTTCTCAAAGTAAATGGTTTCCATTGAATATAATGGATGATCACCATTTTTCCGTCTTCAACTCCTCTACCATTACCTGTTTCATCTTCTATGATTCCTCCTCGTGATACCCCGGAGGAAATTGTTCCTTTTTCACAGGTTTATAATCGGAGACAACAGGTACAAGCTTCTACTCCCACGATCGACTGCCCTGTTCCTTCAGCACCAGCTCCACCTTCTCAAGCTATTGTTTCGCTTGATGATGATCGCCCCATTGCTCTTCGAAAGGGTAAACGTTCTTGTACATACCCTATTTCTAATTTTGTTTCTGATTATGCTCTCTCACCCTCCTATCAGAGTTTTCTTGTTTCTATTGCCTCGGTTCCTCTTCCTTCTAGTGTTGCAGATGCACTAGCACAACCTCAACAGCATGATGCTATGACAGAAGAACTACAAGCACTTGAGAAAAATCAGACTTGGGATATGGTTCCACTTCCTATTGGACGGAAGGCTGTGGGTTGTCGTTGGGTGTTTACAGTTAAGCATAATCCAAATGGGTCAGTTGCTCGTTACAAGGCTCAATTGGTTGCCAAAGGTTATGCTCAGAATTATGGCATAGATTATTAGGAGACTTTTGCCCCTGTTGCTAAGATGAAAAACATCCGTGTATTACTTTCCGTTGCTGCGATTCGATCTTGGCCTCTATTTCAGTTAGATGTCAAGAATGCCTTTCTCAATGGTGATTTGTAGGAGGAGGTGTACATGGTTCTTCCTCCGGGCTTTCGTTCTCCTGCTCATTCTGGTATGGTATGTCATCTTTGTCGTTCTCTGTATGGCCTCAAGCAATCTCCTCGAGCTTGGTCTGATCGCTTTGGCACTGCCATGGTCAAGTTTGGTTTCCATCAAAGTGCAGCTGATCATACCTTGTTTTTACGTCATTCAGGCGGTAAGACAATTGCTCTCATTATGTTTGTGGATGATATTGTTCTTACCGGCAATGATACTACCGGAATTGCTGAGGTTAAGAGTTATCTTGGCAGTCAGTCTGATATTAAGGATCTTGGTCCCCTGCAGTACTTCTTGGGCATTGAGGTGGCTCGTTCTAAGGTAGGCATTTTCATCTCTCAACGCAAGTATGTTCTTAACTTGCTTTCTACTTCTGGTCAGCTTGGCGCTCGTCCTGCTGATACTCCGATTGAGCAGAATCATCGGTTGGCTGATTCTGAGGGGAAGTTGTTGTCAGATGTTGGTCAATATCAACGACTTGTGGGGAAGCTCTTCTATTTATCCATGACTTGACCTGACATTGCTTATGCCGTGAGTGTCGTGAGTCAATTCATGCACTCTCCTCGTGTTCCTCACCATGATGCAGCTATTCGGATCATTCGCTACTTAAAAGGGTGTCCAGGCCGTGGTGTTTTTGTTTGCCAATCATGGTCACTTATGTGTTGAGGCTTGGACAGATGCTGATTATACAGGATCAATTTCAGATAGGAGGTTAACTCTGGGTTTTTGTACCACTATTGGTGGTAACTTGGTTACTTGGCGCAGTAAGAAGCAGGATGTTGTCTCTCGATCTAGTGCAGAGGCAGAGTACAGGGCTATGGCTCTTGTGGTATGTGAGTTGCTATGGCTGAAAACCTTGATGACAGACTTGTGCCTTCCAGTATCGCTTCCATTGGCTCTACTGCGACGACAAGTCTACCATTAGCATAGCAGCAAATCCCGTTCAGCATGACAGGACTAAGCATATAGAGGTGGACCGTCACTTCATTCGAGAGAAGATCATCTTTGGTCAAATTTGCACTCCATTTGTCACAAACTCTCAGCAACTTGCAGACATTCTTACAAAAGGCGTCAGCAAGTTGTGTTTGAGAATGCATTGTCCAAATTGGGCGTTTCAAATATCCACGCACTAACTTGAGGGGGAGTGTTAGCATATATGATACCATGATTTATGGAATGACTTACCATAATAACAGAAATTTGACTATGAATATGTTAGCATATATGATAGCTACGATTTATGGAATGACTTACCATAATGCAGAGATTTGACTATGCTATAGAATATGCCATAGAATATGCTTTAGAATAGGTTGTGATTTGATTTAGATTTAATTTAATTTTCTTTCTTGTACTATGAGCATGTGCTCTTTTTATCTATAAATACTAGAGCTGTGAATAAGTAATTCATCTCATTCAAGCCTTTACATAATTCTTTCATTTCTCTTCTTTTTATATTTCTACTTATATATATATATATATATGAAGAATTATTTGATTTAATACAATATATTTTTTATACCGCAGTTGAGGGCACCAATTTATTTTTCCAAAATTACATTCAACGTGCTATCTCTCTCTGTGTATATATCTATGGGTTTTTGTTGTTAATGGGAATGAAAGTTTTAATTTAACCATATCTTCTCTCATTTTTATTTTCTTTTTGCAGGCCGAGCAAAAAAGAAATAATGAGAAGCGCATGACATCTCACAATTCTAGATTCAATCATTTGAGCAGGATATCAATAGAGATTTATACCTGAATGAAGTTTTTGTATGGTGAAATTTGTTTATGGAAATAGAGTCGGTGTAATACTTTAGAAAAAAATAAGAGAGAGAGGAGAGATGGCGCTGGTGGTGGGATGGTGGAGGAGGTGGCAGTGGTTAGGGGTAAAGGCGGTAGGTGGAGGAGAGAGAAAAGGAAAAGAGGGAAGAAGAGAGAAGGGAATCATTATAATAATATGTAGGCAAATTCATGGATTGACAATATCAAATTTTACCTTTTTTATCATTAAAATAATCAGGGTATAATGGTGATTTCATCCCATTTTTGACATCCGCAAGCCATTAGAAGGGAGGTAAGTGCAACTTCTTTTGCCCACATTTCGCGGAGTGTAATTACGCAAACCTCATGGAAGGTCAGTGTATTTTACCCAACATGTTTTGAGTAGACAATAGCATTCAAAAAGAGAGAAGACAAAACAGTGATAAGAACATACTGCATAATGGATGCCAAAAAATGAGAATAAATTTTGTCGACACCAACTTACCAAGTAAATCCTCATAAGATTCTGCCAACAGTGATGAGTCCATCAGCAAAGGAGGTGAGAAGACTTGATCCTCAGCTCCATCCATGTCATAAAATGACTTCTGTGGAGCAGAAACTACACGATTTGAACCAGCAGCTGAGAAAAAACCATTTACTCGGTCATATTCCCTGAGTGTGTCCAAACCATTTAACACATCTGACAATTCATAGTACTTGCTCCCAAAATGACCACCACGAGCACGATTCTCAAGCGAGGGATCTGCTTGAGAAGTAAACTGTTTATTTCTTACACCCAGTTTATTTTCTGACCCCTTATGAGAAAACCCAGTAGTAGAAAGTGGAACAAAGAAGTGCTCAGAGCTATCATCAGAGCAACTCTCTTGTGATGGTTCCAAATTGCAGGATTGCACTGACAGAGCTGCTTCTCTGACAGATCTCTTTAGGTTCTGGACATAAGAATTGTCATTGTCTGCGGAAGCATAAAAAATAAGAATTAAAACCTCAAAAATAAAGATCTTAAACTATTTCTTTAGACTGAAAGATAGAACGACTTAGGCAAGCCAACGGTGTACATATTCAGGAGGGAGGGGAAAATGCGGGAGTAGAAGTAACATTGCACACCTTGTGGTGGATCTACATGATTATTTGAGAGAGGCTGGTCCAGTGACCTTCTTTCTGACAAATTTTCTATTTGATTGGTTTGAGCTAAGGTGTGTCGCTTTTGCACGTTCCCACCTTTCCCAGAAGAATTTGGTGTCAAACTAAATAAAGGTGGGAGTTTTAAAACAGGGGGACTGGCTGAAACTTTCTCTAACTGAACGGTTGACAATCTTGAAGTTACCTCAGCAACCTCATCAGTGCTACTTTCCTGCACAGTTCAAGAAGACCATTAATCTATACAGATGCAAATTTTAACCAAAATAATCGTAGTATATCTGTCACAAAACAAGTACCAATGTTCTTCCACTGCTCTGTGCTTGGATAGGTGAAGTGGATCTGCCATGACTTTTGTTCATTGGAGAAATATTCGAGGAAATGCTGTTCACTTCCTCTGTTAGCTCTGATATTGAATTTTGTATTGCTGGTGCAACTTCCTTCAGTTGATTGATGAGCACCTGCACATTGCAACTGTTCATATGAGAAAAATCCTCAACATAGCAGCTTAGCGTGTATGCCAGTATGGCAGCATTAAATAATAAATTAGAAGTTCCAATTTATCAATCTCAAATCTACAGTGGAAGACCACGTGTGCTACAAGAAATCAAGACAAATCCTAGAAACAGGAATGTAAAGGGGGCCAAGCTGAGCCAAGTACTAGCTGCTCAGCAGACTGGCTAAGCTTGATGAAACATAGTAGTGTTTCATCCTGGCTAAAACTCAGTGAGATCCATATGAGCTCCACTTTAACGCTCAAAAATATGGTTAGGCTAGGCTTGGCTTGGCTTGGCTAGGTTAAGTTGATATTATTTCACAATGATGACAACATCTTAGTCATTTCATGTATAAAATAATGGTATCTAAACCAAATATAATGACAAAACATGGTGATGCACTATAGACTTGAACTGTCACATGATACCATCCAGCAACAGCTTCAGCACAGCTCAAATTTTTTTTGATTAAGTGATGCGTTGAATTTGTAACAACAAAATAATGCAGTCTCAAACTTCTAACACGTATCCCAACTTAGAAAGTAATTTCTACTGGCAGCAACTTTACGAAGCATTAAAGAGTCATTGCATAAGCTTGCCTCATTTTACTGAATGGCTCACAGGATGGCCTCGGCTCCACTGCTTGTGCTTTAAAATGAATTTAAATAAGTTGCACTCGAGTCATACGGTTTGTTTAACAGCATTGCAAACAACAGTGAGAGGTTATATATGGTCGAGAAATTCATGGAGAAATCAATTCCATACTCCCAGTTGATCACTTTTTGTAACAAAAACCTTTTTAGGTAATTGAGTAGAGCTTGTAGTTTAATTCATCATAAATGGAATCTTATAGAGAAAGCAGAGGCTAAAATAACTTCATCAAAAAAAGATTAACATCATCTGTGTACCAAACAATGTAACAGATTGTCAATTGACAGCTGAAATGCACAGGATTGCCTCTCAATGATAAGTAGGTACTTTAACTTTAAAGGAAATCATGGATTAACACTTTGTCATTTCATTCCCAACCAGTGAGAAATTCATAACACGGAGTTTTTCTGTCGAATACACCACTACAGGAACACCAATCCACTTCAACCAACTTAGTTTCATGGGCAACGCAGTTATCAACTTTCCCCTCATAATTGCCAACAAACTCAAATTGAATAACACGTTTAGTTGTCTACTCGAGTAGTTTTCCCATTAAACTCCACTATTCTCTCATTTTTCCTCTAATGAAGCTTATTTCTTATACGTTCTCTTAAATTCTTAATCCTAAGTATCCCAAAAGAAATTGGTTATAAGCATATCTCCAAGTTTTTATTTTATATTATCTATTTTAGCTTCATCAGGGAAAAAGAAAAATACCGTTGACTTTCATATTCATAGAAGTCAGCTTAAAGGTTCACACTAGCTTTCTACCTGACGTAACCGCTAACCCTCCTTTCACCAAGCCAGCTAACCTCTCAAGTACGAATAACTATACACGAGTATATTCAGAAGCTCGCTAAATACAAAAATTGGTTTTCTTCAGATTACAACATGAAGCCATTAAGCACAATTAGGTGCTGAAATTTACATTCTTTCAAAAAAAAAAAAGGCCTAAACTTATAAAATTTCTTCAGAATAAGCAAACAAATGAACATAAAACTTGCAGTTTACAGTTTTATTGTAAATATAGGGATACATCCATGTTCAATATTCACAGAAGCTAAAGCGTGTATACCATAAAACTGATACCAATTCCACTGCCAAGTGACAAAAGATATCCTTAGAACATTAGAATAGAAACTTTCTTTCAAAACTGCACAAAGTTCAAATAGAAACATTATTAATTTACCTGGATGCTAGCTAGGTGTTGCCGATGTTCATCAAGAGTGGAAGCTAATGAGTCAGCATGGCCATTCGTACCACCCTCGTCTGCACTCCGTAGAAGGTCTGGACCCTCTCCATCATTGGCTTTTGCCTATGACACAATCATTGGGGGGAAAACAATGTTACTGCCAAGGAGGTAAATAAAAAATAAATAAATAAAAATTAATCCCAGAAAAATCCAGGGAAATTTTTTTTAAAAATAAATAAATAAAAATAAAAATCAGAAAATAATATAGATTTAGTTCCCACCTGATTATGAGGTATAGTATGTCACAGAAAAAGTTTTTACATTAAAAAGGTGATTCGATCAAGAGAATTAAGAGTTAGATTTGTATACAGACAAGTGAATAACCAATGATGATTTTTCATTACAGGCCTATCTATTAAGACAACCTAACTTATCACAAATGAAGTTTTCTTATAGTATAAAAATTGCCAATGCTTTTGAATGGTTTGTGCAAAAATGACAAAAATGAATGCTTTCCCAAAGTATCAAATTGCAGTCAATGGCATGTAAACAAAGAGACACAATTGTTCAAAACAGACAGTATTTTACCCGCCCCTATGGCTTGGATCTTTTCCTTGATACAATTAAGTGACAACCAGTATACATTGGGAAATCAAGAAAAATTTGTGACCTCATATGATTAATTATTCACATTTTCACAGCTGTCATCTAATTTGTAAACAACGAGATCACATTCTCTCAACATGTGAAGTGTACGAGCATATCATTGGTAAGCAATATCCAGTTTAATAGAAAACAATCAGGTTGAATACAATGATTAGGTATGATAATCTAATTATACGAAAATCAGATATATATATATAGATAGATAGAGAGAGAGAGAGAGAGAGAGAAGTATTTCAATTGTACTCAAACTCTAATGCTGAAAATAAATTACTTAATGTTTCTTTTAGGAAACTGCACAGAATGCAGCAATAATTTCTCACTAATCTCGAAATAATTTCATCTCTGCTTGAACGATTTAACTCACAAAACATTCCATTGAACAGAATCATTATTGTCACTAATTTTTTAGCATTGAATTCTAAAAAATTATAAAATTTAACAATCATAAGCCACAAATATTTGAGCTATATTAGAATTTATTGATGGAAGGCCATGCACTGGTTTGGTCTCAGGCTGTCAGGCAAAACAAGAAAAAATGGAGAAAACTGTATAGCAAGAACAGGGACGGATCTAGAAATTCATATGAGGGGGGCAAATTTACATAGAGGGGTTTTTTTATAATTTCAGGGGGGCAATTTTAAAATTTTATGGGTATAAATGCAAAAAAATATAAATTTAGGAATGTAAAATGCAATAATAAAAAATTTCAGTGGGGGCATGGGGGTGGATGCCCCCACTGAGCCCTTCACAGATCCGTCCCTAAGCAAGAATCAAATAACTGACTAATAGAATAGTTGCATACATGAAATATAAGCTTACCAGATGAAGCGACTGTTTATGTATACGTTGCAAGGCATGTGTCCAGCGCCTGAGAATTTCTGCTATATCAACAGAGGGGTGGACTCTTCCACTTCTATCATCCACTCGAGAAAATGTTTCATCATTTATTTGTAGAGTAGAAGAATTTAAATTGTTCTTAAGCTTTTCTCGGTTTACATTAATTAATGTACCATCCACTTGTTTGTCATCTAATTGCATTGAAGCCAGATCTCCAGGTTGGACAGACAAAACATCTGTACAAGGGGCCTCCGGAGAACTTTGATCCATAGCTGCAAGCAAAGATGACCCAGAGATGCGGTACCTGAATATGGGATCTTACACGTGAGCAAGCATCTGTGCAAAAGCTATAAACATGACATAGGACGGGTACATCGGGAAGTTACCTATGCTCCCGGTGAGATATCAGGTCCTCGATAGGGCCCGAAGCAAGAACTTCATGCTGGCCTGCACAGAGTGGAATATCAAGATCAATAAAAAGAGTATCAAGTGAAAAAGAAAACATTTTTATAATGATGATTCTTCATAGGAGTACATTTAAAAATAACAGTGATCTGGTTTTTGTAATAAAAGAAGTAGTTTTGGGTCTTGGCTTACTCAAACCGAGAGCCAAGAGCTATATTTATATACAAGAATAGGGTACAACGAAAGGAAACCAAATCAAAGAAAAACATAAAATATGCCAAAGTCTACATGATCCCATGACTATGGGGATCTTATCTACGGGATCCAATGATTACGGGGATTTTATCGATTTGATCCCATTATTATAAGGATCTTACATAAAACACATAATAAAAGGCTAAAAATAATAATAATAAAGATATTTCAACACTCCCGCTCAAGCTGGAGTGAAGATATCAATCAAGCCAAGCTTGGTAATCGAGGAAAGAAGCAAATATGGACCAACAGATTTGGTGAACACATCGGCCGATTGATTAGAGGACCAAACAAAGCACGGCATGATAATTCCCGAACGAACCTTCTCTCTGATAAAATGAATGTCCACCTCTATATGTTTAGTCCTCTCGTGAAGAACAGAATTTGAAGCAAGCATGATGGCTGACTTATTATCACAAAACAAGTCTGAAGACTGTTTTTCCCCTAGCCCTAGCTCCTCCAAGAAAGATCGAAGCCAGAGAATCTCACAAGTACCCTAAGCCATGGCACGATACTCAGCCTTTGCTAAAGATCTTGAAATTATAAATTGTTTCTTACTTTTCCAGGATATAATAGAAAGTACAAAAGCCAGATGTGGAAGGTCGGTCAGCCTTGGACCTAGAATAGTCTACATCATTGAAACAGGATAGCCCAACCTGTTTGCTAGAAGAATAGAATAATCCAAGTCTAGGACAAGACTTGAGATATTGAAGAATATGATATACCGCATCCATATGAGTTGTACAAGGAACATGCATAAACTGGCTCACAACACTAACCGCAAAAGCCAAATCAGGACGGGTGTTGGTAAGATAAATCAATCTTCTTACCAAGCGCTGATACTGCAAGGGATCAGAAATGAGATCTCCGGACTCAGCCGAGATCTTCAGATTAGGATCAATAGGAGTGGAAGCAGGTTTACACCCAAGCATACCCATGTCTCGAAGAAGATCCAAGACATACTTCATTTGCAATAAAGAGATACCCTGCTTAGATCTAGCAACCTCAATTCCTAAGAAATATATGAGCTGCCAAAGGTCATTCACATCAAAAGCTTTAGCCAATTGAAGTTTTCCTTGAGCAATCCTAGGGATGTCATTGCCAATAATGATGATACCATCAACATAGACAAGAAGAATGATACAACGACCAATGGAGGAATGGTGGATAAAACGTGTGTTGTAAATAAGAGCAAGAAAATAGAAGAGAAGAATTCTTGTGTATCTCTTAGATGTGAGTACATGTGAGTTTATATAGGAACCCAAGACATACAATCAGTACATTAATTTAGCCAATTACCATAAATTAAGCTAATCAAAATCCTATAATCAAGCTAGTAGATTTTATGCATTAGAATATTCCAATAGTCAAGCTAGCAGATTACATGTAGCTGAATAGTTAACTTTCCTAATTAATTATAGGCTGCAAGCAGCCTATATTCACGACACTCCCCCTCAAGCTGGAGAGTAGATATCAACAACTCCTAGCGTGCTGCAAATAGAGTCGAATGCATTCTTCGGAAGAGCTTTAGTGAAGATATCAGCTAGTTGATTGCAAGAGGGCACAAAAGGAGTCATAATCTCATTTGAAGCTACCTTAGAACGAATGAAATGACAATCCACTTCAATGTGTTTTGTCCGTTCATGAAAAACTAGATTGCTCGCAATATGAATGGCGGCTTGGTAATATGAATGGCGGCTTGGTTATCACAGTAGAGAGGAGTTGGATCTTGCACTGAGATTCCAAACTCTTGTAGAAGACTTCACAACCAAGTTAGCTCACAAGTTGTGTGACCCATTGCACGGTATTCAGCCTCAGCACTAGATCGAGCAACAACTGATTGCTTCTTACTTCTCCAAGTCACAAGATTATGAAGATATTTCTAGAGATAAAAGGAATAGGAATAACTCTCCGTGTTTATTCTTCTCCTTGTGGAGGATTTAAATAGTACACAAATAATTACAAAGAAAGAAATAATTACAAAGGAGGAAAGAAATTAAAGACTAAAAATCAGCTCCTATAACTATGCTAATCAGCACATGTACAACTAATTATCTATATATGTTAACGATTATATAGTCAACAATACAGCTAATTATCTATATATGTCAACCCTCCCCCTTAAGTTGGAGAATAGATGTCCCGGATTCTCAGCGTGGCAAGAGTAGAATTAAACATTTTGCTATAGACTCCCTTAGTCAAAATATCAGCAAGTTGATCCTCGGTCCTCACATAGGGAGTGCAAATCACACCTTCTGTTACCTTCTCTTTGATAAAGTGCCTGTCAATCTCAACATGTTTAGTCCGATCATGTTGCATAGGATTATAAGTAATGCTAATGGCTGCCTTATTATCACAATATAGCTTCATGGGACTTTGACAAGCAATCCTCAATTCTCCCAATAGGATCTTCAACCATAATAATTCACACACATCGTGGGCCATAGCTCTGAATTCAGCCTCGGCACGACCTGGCCACAACCGATTGCTTCTTACTCCGCCAAGTAACTAGATTGCCACCCACAAATGTGCAATATCCAGTAGTTGATCTTCGATCCGAAATAGAACCTGCCCAATCAGCATCTACATAGGCCTCTATTGCAAGAGTGATCATGTTTTGAAAACAAAAGACCCTTATTAGGTGCTGATTTCAAGTATTTAAGTATCCTCTCTACTGCGTGCATATGAACTTCATGTGGCTCCTGCATGAACTGACTGACAACACTCACTGCATAGGCTATATCAGGTCGTGCTTGAGCCAAATATATTAGTTTTCCTACCAACCTCTGCTTTCTCTCTCTGCCAACTGGTGTATCATCAGTCTTTTCACCCAATCTATGATTCTGTTCGATTGGAATATCCACAGGCTTGCAGGCTAACATCCCTGTCTCAGTGAAAAGATCAAGTACATATTTTCTTTGTGAAACAAATATTTCTTGCTTTGAACGAGCCACTTCAATACCTAGAAAATACCGCAAGACACCCAAATCTTTAATTTCAAATTCCTTGGCCAAATGTACCTTTAGTCTCCTAATCTCCTCGGTATCATCCCCGGTGATGATGATATCATCCACATAGACAATAACAACTCTAATTTTGCCTCCCCGAGAGTGTCGAAGGAATAACGTATGATCTGCTTGACTAGGATGATATCCATACTTCTGCATAGCTTGTGCAAATCTACCAAACCATGCTCTAGGAGACTGTTTCAGGCCATATAATGATTTTCTTAGTCTGCATACTTTCCCCTTATTGGTACTTTCATCACTACCTGGAGGAAGGTCCATGTACACTTCCTCCTCTAGATTGCCATGGAGGAAAGCATTCTTAACATCAAACTGTTAGAGAGTGCACTCTAGGTTAGCTGCTAAAGATAACAGAACCCGAATAGTATTCATTTTCGCAACTGGAGCAAACGTCTCCTGATAGTCAATGACATATGTATGAGTATAGCCCTTTGTCACCAATCTTGCCTTGTATCGGTCAATCGACCCATCTGCCTTATGCTTTATGGTAAAAACCCATTTGCAGCCAACAATTTTTTTCCCTTTCGGCAACTCCACTAACTCCCACGTAAAGTTTTTTCAGAGAGCTCTCAATTCTTCAACCATCACCTCTTTCCAACTTGGATTGTCAAATGCACCTTGAAACAAAGGAAAAAGATGGAGCACTTGAAATATTAGAAAGAATAGAGGGATTACCAGTCATATAATTAGAGGCTCCAGAATCAATAATCCATGGCTAATTGGATGAGGAATGGAGGCAAGAGTTACCTGAAGCACCCAAGGTGGCAGTTGAGGTAGATGAAACATGAGTGCGCGCCATCAGTGAGTCATACTCTGCTTTGGAAAGAGCTACAATCTCTTCATCAGCAGGAGTGGAGATCTCCCCCTGAACAGTAGCATGATTAGCCCATGTGGGCTTGCCATGGAGTTTCCAACATTTGTCAACAGTATGGTTGGTGCGATTACAATGAGTACATTTCTTGAGGCCACTGCAACCACCTTGAAAATTTCGACCTTTCGAAACATGTCCCCCGCGACCATTATGGGAATTATCAGAGCGCCCAATGGGAGCTGCAAGGGCAGAGCGACTGGCTTTCTTTGGAGCAGATAGGTTGGCCCGCTGAACACGATTATAAGCCTTACTAGCAAATGGCAAAAGTGTACAAGCGAGAATTTGAGAACTAGCAGGAGCAAATTTGGGTCGAAGTCCAGAAAGAAATTTCACCGCGCAAAATTCTTCCCTGTATCGTTTTTTAGTCTCCATATCAGTAGACAATGGCTAATACACATTCATTTCCTCCCACATACCTTTCAAGGTGGAGTAGTAATCTTCAATAGAGCGATCTCCTTGTATAGTGGAAAAAAAATCCTCGTAAAGCTGATGAATCCGAGAGATGTTTTGCTCAGACGAATGCATCTCCTTCAGGGCATCCCAAATCTCTTTAGAGGTTTCAAGAAAAGAGACATTGTTGAAGACCTCGGGCTCCATACTGTTCCATAACCAAGTCATAATTTGGGCATCTTCTTGTTCCGAAGCATCAACCAATTTGGCATTAGTAGGTTTGGTTGACTTAAGATAAGAGAACTTCCCTCGAGCTTTCAAAGCAACTTGAACAACTCCGGCCCATTGACAGTAATTCGGACCCTTGCGTTTAATATTGGTCATGGAACCAAAGAACAAAGAATCTTTAACATATGTTTTGTCACCCATGAAGACTGAGCAAGAACGAGAGGAGATCTGAGTAAGAATAGGATCCAAGCAAGGAGATCAGCAAGAGGATT